AAGCTGAGTCACTTGTCCCAGGTCACACAGCTTCTGGGAGCCCTGGGATTTGAGCCCAGATCCTCAGCACCCCGAGAACGGTCTGTAACAGTGCTGTTCAGGGTGCCTCGGGCCAGCCCTCCCTATTTACCAGTGTCTCTGAAGTCAGATGAATGGGCTGAAGATGCAGCTGCTTTTAACACCATGTACTTTGGACAGAGTCTTACTGAAATAAAACCCTCAGTCACCAGGCCCCCTGACTCCTCCGGGCCATGTGCGTAATGGGTCATCACTAGGCATGTGCTGCCCTCTGGTGATGAGAATCTCCCAAATCTGACCTCCAGCTTTCCCTGCGCACCCACTTCCTTTGGTCAGTCTGGGGTTGGGGGTTGGAGGGCGTGTGGTCAGTGGGGAAGCTGCTGGCTCTGTGGTCAGACCCTTGCATCACCCGACACTGGCCAGGAGCGCCTGTCCTTGCGACTCTCAGACAGCAAGGCCTGTAAATGGGACTCTGGATCCTGTCACTTTTAGCACCATGGACCTAGGCTTAAAGACCAGGCTTCCCAAGGAGTCCTAGGGCAGGGAGGTCATTGTTTAACTCGCCCTAATGGCTTGGACCAGGTTTATAGGCGTGGCAGAAAGGTCATTTGCAGAGTGAACCGAAGGTCACACAATCTGTCAGAACGGAGGGAAAGTAACACCAGCAGAAGGCCCATGTTCTAGTTCTTGCTCCGCCGGTAATAATGTGTGTGACCGTGGGCGTGCTTTTGCGCTCCAACACGTTTCCTCACTGGCCACACTAAGGGGGCTCAAAATCTTAGACTTTGTCAACTTTCTACATTTGCCAAGATCTCTTTTCCTGAAAGGTTTTGCCTTTCTTTTGTTCCATTAAAAAATATTTTTTTATAGAGAAGAGGGAGAAAGCGATTTGAGAGTCAAACATCATTTGGCTGCCTTCTGCACAACTGCCCACGAGGGACTGAGCCAGGAACCAGGGCATGTGCCCTGACCAGGAATTGAACCCATGACCTCTTGGTGCATGGGACAGTGCTCAACCAAGTGAGCCACACTGGCCAGGGCTTGTTCCATTTTTACATGCATCCTGATTAGTATGACACGATACCTATCCACACTCACTAGGTCTGTTTCCTTATTCATGAGATCAATCCTACTTCATGGGGTTGCTGGGAGGAAGTTGCCATCAGACCCAGTGTGAATGGGTTCAGTTAGATTGGGTTTGTTTAGGCAAAGCAAGGGCACATCCATACATGTGTATACTTTTATTTTATTATTTTTAAATATATTTTTATTGATTTCAGAGAGGAAGGGAACGGGAGAGAGAAACATCAATGATGAGAATCATTGATTGGCTGCCTCCTGCACCCCGCCCCCCACTGGGGATTGAGTCTGCAACCCAGGCATGTGCCCTTGATCGGAATCGAACTCAGAACCCTTCAGTCCACAGGCCAACGCTGTATCCACTGATAGAGCCATACATATATATACTTTTATATCAAGGAAACCTGATGTTGAAAATACAGCTGTCCTGTCCTACTATGTGGTTCTAGCACAGTATCACCTTCAAAGAGATGCCAGCTTGTGGGTCTTTCATCGTCCCTGCAGCCCAGCTGTAGTTACTGCCTGTGCCCGTCTGAGCAATGATCTCTGTGTGGGAAAGGGGGGGTGGGGGTGGGGGTGAGCCACCGGTTGGTGACCGCCGATCTAGGGCAAGCATGTCAAACTCGCGGGCCGCATGTAGCCCACAACGAATATTTTTGTGGCCCAGCCAGTATAACGGTCTGAGCAGTTATTTACAATTATGAAAGGAAATAAGTCTCCTGTCAGATCCAGAAATACTGACATTTCACCTTGGGTCAGTTTGAAAGTAATCACTGCAAACAAGATTTCCCCCGAAGTAGGAAAGATGGTAGCAGAGAAGAGATGCCAAGTGTCAGGAAGAAAACATTAATTTTGTCATTGCTCTTTTTTATATATACTGTACTTTTCTAAATAAACCTACGTTTCTGTGAAAATTGAAGCTTTTGTTTTTTTGTGGCCCACATAAACTTAAACCTTGTTCATTTGGCCTGTGTTAGCCTTTGAGTTTGACATGCTTGATCTAGGGCGAGAGTCCAGGGCAGGAGTGTTGTTCCTATTCAAAGGAGACTGCTGGCTTCCTACTACTGTTCTCTAACTCTGCCTGCTTCCAAACCACCTGCTACACCCCTAAACTGCATGGGCTCACATAGGCTGGAAAAGAAATAAGCCAGATACAACAGATAATCACTGCATGATTCCCTGTATATAGGGTAATTAGAGAAGTCCAATCATAGAAAGAGAAAGTAGAAGGCTCGTTGCCAGGGACATGGGGGTGAGGTTTGGGGGCAAGAGGATGTGGTGTTAATGAGGACAGAGTTTCGGTTTTGCAAGAACACGAGAGTCCTGGTGGTGGTGATGGTTGCACCGCAGTGTGAATGTATGTAATACCATTGAACTGTGCACTAAAAATGGGTAAGTTGGCAAATTCTATGTTACATATTTTACCACAGTAAAAAAAGTGGGGGGGGGGGGGGAAATGCCTCAAAGAAGGCAAAACCTGGGAAGATAATATGCAAAAAGTAAAATACCTGTGTTAGTATAATGTTATAAACAGTTTAAATTTTTCATTCCATAGTGTGATATTGCTTTTATAATTAAAAAAGTAAAGCAATGAGACAGAAAAAAAAATCAAGAAATAATTTGAGATATTTTGATATTTGTTATTCCCCAAGAAAGCACCCAGGTCATCATGGGAAAACCAGAAACTTGTTTAGCATCCTGGCACTTACTTTATTTTATAATTTACTATTGTTTATTTTAAGTTACAGATCCTTGGGGGCCCATGACCTTTTCAGTCTTAGTGCCACTAGAAGTTTTAAGCTGGTCTTGGGTGCAGCTGGTTCAGTTTAAGGCTGAGGGAATCGTGCTGGGATGGCCCCTGGGCCCCAAAGCTCTGCCTCGAGCCCATCTGTGGGGTAACTTGATTCAGGGCCTCCTCACGAGCTAATTCCATTTTTATTAAAATTCCTGCCCTGACTGGTTTGGCTCAGTGGATAGAGCGTCGGCCTGCGGAATCAAGGGTCCCAGGTTCGATTCCAGTCAAGGGCATGTACCTTGGTTGCGGGCATGTCCCCAGTGGGGAGTGTGCAGGAGGCAGCTGATCAATGTTTCTCTCTCATCAATGTTTCTAACTCTCTATCCCTCTCCCTTCCTCTCTGTAAAAAATAAATAAAATATAAAAAATAAAAATAAAAAAATAAAATTCCTACCCATGGGCCTGGGATAATGGTCATGGCTTTGCCTTTCAGCTCCACAGCAAGGTTGGTTGGTTGGTTGGTGGTTGTTTAAGTGAGTAATTACTGAAGTAGATGAGTGCCACCCCTGAACGTGGACCGAAATAGCAATGAGCCAACTGCTCCTTCCCAGTTCAGGAGCTGAAAATGCGCCTGGCAAAGGCTCCTGGGTGGCTCTGTGTGGTGGGGCTGGCTCCCTGCTGTGCCAGGAAGACATAGGCCTGCCTCCTGTTCAGTGAGTGACACTTACATGGTAGGACTCCTTGGTAACAATGATGGAAACTAATGCCTGTGCTTTTCACTGACAAAGCTAGGCTATTGCAGGAAACTCAATGTTGAATATTTTCGGAGACTTTGAGACCTTCCAGCCCCATGTTTGACCTTGTTGAGAAGTTCCCTAAACCTAAGCGTGAGATGAGAACAACCTATGGGTTCCACTGTGAGAAAAGAGAAACATCGGTTATTAATAACCAGCGCATGTTGAGCAGTGGCCCTGTGCCGGCTCTGTGCTGACTGCTTTCCTTGCATCAGCTCGTTTCATCTTCAAACCACCCTGCGAGCCAGGGCCCTCGCATTCCCATTTTCAAGGAGGAAATTGAGATTCCAGCAGCCTTAGGAGCAGCCCGAAGCCGCCCAGTGACTTGCTGCCCAGTGACTTGACATGGCTTTTCAGTAAGTTCAGCGTCGGCAGGAACGTGCCAGAAATGCACGTCTGAAAGGTGGGAGCCGTGGCTTCTTTCCCAAAATCAACCGAGACGTCCTGTGAAAAGAAATAGTTATATCCGAGTTTGTGGAATTCTCTTTTCTTTTCCATTTCCAATTGTGTCTTTCTTGCCTAGGAAAGGTCCCCACGTCTCTGCCCAGCAAGTTAAGGTCCTGATTCCACTTTTGTAAGAGAAAAATCTTTCCTTCATCACCTAGAGGACAGAGGTATTTCCAAATAGAATTTAAGCCAACAGCACATAAATTTTGCTAGTCTCTAAAAACCGTCATCTGTGGTAGTTTCTGAGTCAATTGTAGGCTCGAAAAGTTGAGAGTGAGTGGTGTGATCAAATCCTGGTTTGTCGGCTGAGAAATGTGGTTCTCTGGCTCTGTGCATCCGGGGTGACTGTAGGTGAATACGCAGACCCGGGGGGAGGGGGAGGGGGAGGGCTGGGTAGGAACCGTCAAAGCAGCGCCTTAAGGGAATGGCCACCATGTGGCTGGATGACTGCACAGAATTTCCCCGTAACTTCCAGGGGGACCTCTAGAACTGCGCCTTCCAAACAGGGCGGCTGTACCCAGCAGGCTGCACCTCCGAGAACGCAAAGGTACTGCTGGGGGCCCTCGCCCCTTCCCCTTTCATGTTCGACCACTCAGCTCGGTGCCTCTTGCCACAGTGGGTGACGGCCCATCTGGGTCCTCCACTCAGCCTAATGGCCGAGGAACGTCGTGGACATCGGACCTGGCCTGCCAGGACCTCTCATGGCACAGCGGGGAAGCCATGAAATTTGGCCCAAGCCAGTATACCCTGGTCCCAGCCCCTGCCTCAGTCAGTTCCTCTGAGCAGCCACCTGTTTGGACTTGGTGGTCGGATGGAAAGGCCTATGAAGGACCAGAATGAAGATGCCTCTGTCCAGTGTGGGGATCAGGAAACAGCGAGCTCACAGATTTGGTCCCCTTAGAGCACCCCGGACTCAGGCAATTAGAAATAGTGTGTTCAGTATTTATTAACAAATGGATTGGCGAAAGGGCAGGTCTGGTCCTATCGCCACCCTCCCCCATTAGCACCCACCATGCGCCCGTCACTGTGGTCGGGGTCTGACATGCTAGCGGGTCCTCGGAGCTGCCTGACTCTTGGCTCCAACTCCGTCACCTTCACAGCTACTTGGGCAGGAGACCTCCTGAGGAGGGCAGGGGGGAGGAGGCTCAGTGGGTGCCAGGACCACAAGGTAAGCCGCGCCTATTCCTCTGGGGGCAGGCAGTCTTCCTGGGGCAGAGCAGCTCTGCCAGGTGTTAGTCTCCGGAGGAGGTCAGCCTCGCGTGGGAAAGCCCTGAGTGGAAACGCGGCGTCATGAAGGCATCGCCCTTGCTCTTAGCTAAGAGCGCAGCCAGTGGTCTCGGTTGGCAGTGAGGCCCCAGGATGAAAAAGCCTGTGCCGGGTCTTTTCCTTGGCACCCACTACCACCCCACACGGACACCCCTCCGTATCTACAGCTGTGAAGCGGGAAGGACAGCAACACATGGGGAGGTGCCGAGGAGGAAGATTTCAGGCAAAACACTTCTTGTTCATGGAGCATCTTCTCTGCAAAAAACTCGGCACCAGCTCTGCACCACGTCCTCGACGGCTCAGTGAGGACAGCAGTGACCGCTCACTCCCCCAGGCGCCAGGGCAGGCGTTGTACAAGCTCAGTCATTCCTCTTGATGCAGGTTACAGTGATCGTGGGCACTCAGGAACGTCTCCATGGCATGTTTCCAGGAACCAACATGGCTCACGAAGCCCACGCTTCCCTGTGAAACTGCACCAGCCGTGCAGGGAGCTGGCCCATCAGAGCATCTGTGAAGGCCCTGGGCTCCCGGCAGTCCCCTTGCGAGACGACACCTAAGACAGGTGACCGCAGAGTGGCTGCTGCTGCTAGCGCCCTCGCAGGGCTAGAGCCTCGGACAGGAAGGCGTCCTCTCAGGAAAGGACAAGCCGCTTCTCACCCTCAAAGCCTCCGGTCTCCTCGGGCTTCATTAAGTTCCCATTGAGGCTGTTGGAGAAAAAGAAAACGAGTAAAATGCAAATCTGATCACACCCTCCTTTGCTTCAAACCTTCAATGACTTCCCATTGCTTTTAGGACAAACACCCACCTATGCCACAGGACACACACATCTTTTGTGGTCTAGTTTCCCCGTCCTCCGCCTCTGTGGACCCTCTTCCACACTGTCTGAGCCCGAGACACACAGCTCCTGGACATCACGCTCCTTCCTGCCTCCGAGCCTTTGCATATGCTGTTCCTGGGACACTTTCCCTCCCACCTCCACGGACTAACTCCTAGTCATCTTTCACGGCTTAGTTTCCGTGCCACTTCCTGAAGGAGACCATCCCTGGAACCTCGCCTGTGTTAGGTTCCCTCCCTAGCTTTCCCCTTTATAGTACTCACCACGATTTAATTAAATAATCACTTGAATGATTTTTTTAAAAAAATAATTTGTAGCCGAAACCGGTTTGGCTCAGTGGATAGAGCGTCGGCCTGCGGACTGAAAGGTCCCAGGTTCGATTCCGGTCAAGGGCATGTACCTGGGTTGCGGGCACATCCCCAGTGGGAGATGTGCAGGAGGCAGCTGATCGATGTTTCTCTCTCATTGATGTTTCTAACTCTCTATCTCTCTCCCTTCCTCTCTGTAAAAAATCAATAAAATACAAAAATAAATAAATAAATAAATAAATAAAAATAATTTGTAATGTTTTTATTGATTTCAGAGAGAGAAAGGAAGAGCTAGAAACATCAATGATGAGAGAGAGTCATTGATCGGCTGCCTCCTGCACGCCCCCTACTGGGGATCAAGCCTTCAACCTGGGCATGTGCCCTGACTGGGAATCCAACCTCGACCTCCTGGTTCATGGGTCGCTGCTCAACCACTAAGCCACACCGGCTGGGTTTGAATGATTTTTTTTCACTGTGTCACCCTTACTAGATGGTAGACCTATGAGGGCAGGTCCATTTCATTCGCTACTGGATTTTCAGTGCCAACACAGTGCCTGGCACGCAAGCACTTGGTTATTCAACAAACGAATGAGGAGCAGTGCTAGCCCTGCCTCACAGTCTGGCGGAGACGGCCACACAGGAAGCTGTTGCAATGCAGTGTGGTGACTGCTAGCAACAGAACCCGCAGGAAGGGACAGGTTCTAGGGAAGGGATCACGGTGTAAGGGTGGCTGGGAAGATGGAATTGCCCTCCGGGGTACCTGGCACACAGCCATTGGTGCTGAGTACACACTGCCATCACCTCAAGGGGTGGGCGGGTCTTACCAAATCTCCATGATGCCAGTGTTCTTCTGTAAGGCGTCTGCCAGCTGGGCGACCCCCTTGGCTGTGATCTGGTTCTGGATAAGCCTGAAAGAAGAACATGTGTTGTTTATAGCAGGTACACAGTGCCGGGTCAAACCTGCCCCCTTCATCGGGGTAACTGTAACAGGCTGGTGGGGGAAGAGACAGGGTCCGGAAGAACTGAATCCACGTGACTTGTAATCTGGCTAAGATCATGTACATCCAATCCACCAGAATAAAGGAAAGCCTTTAAAATGCTTGCTTTCTCTGTAGTTTTTATAGTGAGCATCCTATATCTGTGTTCCCATAGAGACAGTTTAATGCGTGAACATACATGTGCATGTGTGCTTGGCACATTTCCCTGCAGAGGAGCCCAATCGGAAATGTTTGGAGACCACAACAGATTCCACATCAGGGAATAGGCAGCCAGGTCTCCTTCCGGGTGGTGAGGGAAAGGCAAGGCAGTTTTTAAAGTTTAAGTAGCAACCAGCTGGCCATTCTCTTCTTTGGGGGAAACAAAGGCTTCTAAGAGGGGGCCATGCCCTCCCCGACATCTGAGAGGGAGAGAGGAGCAACAGTCCTGATGCCGCTCGGGGCCCCAGTGGGAAAGCAGTGATAATGGGGCCTCGAGGAGCAGCCCCATTACGTCAGGCAGCAGCGATCCAAAGGGAGCAAAGGGTGCAGACCGCTGGGAAGCCCCGGCAGTCCCTGAAATGCTCCCCTGGGCAGCTCCTCCGCACCCCACTGGGAAATGGGTGCAGCATGAGGCAGTGATGTGTCCGCCTTCATCACAGGCTCGCCCCTCCCTCCTGGCTATCTGCAGAGCGAGGCTACTGCGGAATCTGACCCCGAGACGTCCGGGGCTTGGACCCAAGCAGGCAGCCCTACTTAAGTGTGAAGGGGCCAACCCCTTAGAGAGGCAGCAGATCACACACACACCCCACTTCCCAGCTATGGGTCCTTGAAGAAATAAGCAGGCTCTCTGTGCCTCAGTTGCCTGATCTGTAAAATGGGAGTAACTGTAAGAGAACCTCCTACCCGCAGTGTGTGAGGTTTGAATGGGGCGACGTGTCTAAAGCAGTTCTCGCAACTGTGCTACGGTGCCCAAGGGGAGGGGAGCCCTTGTCGCCATCACTGCCCACGCACAAAGGACAGTGGCAGCAGCCTGCAGCTGGGACCCAGTGTTCCAGCCACCTCTCCCCAAGGCTGGGACCCCGGGCCCCGTGCAGAGGTGAGGACCCAATAAGCATGACTACATGTAACTTGACATTTTTGCCAAAAGAGCAGAACTAGCCCCTGGCAGTGGGTGCAGAGTTCTGCGTTCAGTACAACAGCGTTCAGTTCAGTCCTGCCGCGTTCTAGTGACTTCCTTCATGGCAGCCACCCCTGGCCTTGCTGGGGCGGGTGAGCTGCTTCCAGCCCAGACTTGGCAAGAGGACAGCTGTGCTCTGGCTGTGCTCTGGCTGTGCTCAGGCACACACGCCCTCCAGGCTGCCTTCACCAGGGCCCTAGGGTTGTGCTTGCACAGAATCCCTCTCCAGTCCTGGCCAGCTTGCTCCCGCTGGGGGCTGGCCTGGCCTTGGGAAGGGCTTAAGAGACAATCTACAGGCCAGGAAAATAAAGGAAACCAACCAATCCAACAAAATTATGTACACGAAGCACAGTCCGGCTGTTTTTACCGACACTGACATGGCGATCTAAAGTTCATAAGGAAATGCGAGGGACTCAGAATGGCCAAGACAACCTTGAGGACGAAGAACACAGCCAGAGGACTCCCAATTCCCGAGTTAAAAACTTACCAGAAAGTGACACTAATCAGCACAGTGCTGCTGGCACAGGATGAACATGTGCATCCGTGGACTAGAGAGAACACCCAGAAATAACCAAGAAGCGCTACATTTGTGGTCAACTGATTTCTGGCAAAAGTGCCAGGGCCATTGGAAAGGGGGAGATCATCCTTCCAGCGAGTGGTGCTGGGACAACCACGTGCAAGAGAACGAAGCTACACCTTGTCGCCTCGTTCCGTACACAAAAATTAGCTTCACGTGGATCAAAGAGCAAAACTACAACCCTCAAGGAAAAGCTAGGGGTACATCCCTGGGACCCGGGATCAGAAAACGGTTCCTTAGTAAGATACCTAAGGCACAAGCAGCCAAGGGGGAAAACAGACACACCGGACTTCCTCAAAATTAAAAACGTCTGCTTCAGGTCACCAGAAGCAGCCCTGAGTCTCTTCCCGTTTGCGGCCATGGCAGAAGCGCCCGCCCGCGGTCAAAATGAAGCTCAATCTCTGTGACTTCTGACGGGAGCCAGAACCATCCAGGGCGTGTCCATGCTCCTTCCCGTGTTCGCATTATCCTCTTCCCAAGGAGCTGAGAGAGGTGTGCAGTTCGACCCACGCCCGTCCGAAAGGGTGATGAAGTTCAAGTGTGTGAGGACACTGCGAAGGGCCACACAGTGGCAGGAAGTGCAGGTTTTCAGGAAGAAATATGTGGTCTCCGCTGGAGGAGTGGGCGGGAGAAAGCTCACGGTACACCTGTTCACAGAGGCATCCCCAGCACGCGGTTGTCACTCCACTAACGCTGGACAGAGACCACAGAGAGGTCCTCGAACGAAAAGCCAAATCGCACCAAGTAGGAAGAAATAAGGCAAATACAAGGAAGAAACTATTTTGCTTTAAACATATTTTTACTAATTTCAGAGAGGAAGGGAGAGGGAGAGAGAGAGAGAAACATCAATGATGAGAGAGAATCATTGATTGGCTGCGTCCTTGCACACTCCACACTGGGGATTGAGCCCACAACCTGGGCATGTGCCCTTGACTAGAACCGAACCTGATACCTTTCAGTCCACAGGCCAATGCTCTATCCACTGAGCCACACCAACTAGGGCTCAAGGAAGAAACTATTGAGATGATACAGGAATAACCTTCTCTACAACTTTCATTGAAAACAAAATAAAAAAGTGAGAAATCCCACAGAGAGGAAATATTTGCAAATCATATCTATAATAATAAAAGCATAATATGCTAATTAGACTGGATGGCCGAATAGCGGAACGACCGTCCGGACAACCTTCCGGAGGAAGCCGGTGCTGCGAGGGCCCCTTGCATGAATTTCGTGCACCGGGCCTCTAGTACCTAATAAATGTCTGGTACCCAGAATATATCAAGAACTCTTACAACTCGACGATAAAAAGGCAAATAATCCAATTTTAAAATGGGTAAAGGATGTAGAGACATTTCTCCAAAGAAGATACACCAATGGCCAACAGCAACATGAAAAGACACCCAACACTGTTAGTCATCAAGGAAGTGCAGATCAAAACCACAATGAGACACCACACCCACGAGGAGGGCAAGATTCAGAAAGAGGGGCAACGACAAGGGTTGGAGAGAATTTGGAGAAAGGGGAGCCCTCCTACATTGCTGATGGGAATGCAAAGTAGAGCAATGCTTTGGAAAGCAGTTTGGCAATTCCTCAAAAGTTAATTGTGATCGCGTGACCCAGCAATTCCCTTGCTAAGTAGACACCCAAGAGGAATGAAAATGTGTGATCACACACAGGCATGTACATGAATGTTCACAGCAGCATTATTCATAATAGTAAAAAAGGAGAAGCAACCCAACTGTCCACCAGCTCACGAATGGACATATAAAGTGTGGACTAGCCATACAGTGGAATATCACCCCTCCATAAAAAACAATGAAGTATTGATACGTGCTAGAATGTAGGTGAACCTTGAAAACGTACACTATGAAAGAACAGAGACAAAAGGCCACATGCTGCGGTTCCATGTCTATGAAATGCCCAGAATAGGCAAAGTATAGTAGTGGTTACAGGACCAGCGGGGGTAGGGAGGGTGGGGGGGGGGGCAGGGCGGGGAGAATGAGTGTCTAATGCATACAGGTATTGGGGGGTGCGTAGGTAAAACTGTCCTAGAATTAGACCAGTGATGGCGAACCTTTTGAGCTCGGTGTGTCAGCATTTTGAAAAACCCTAACTTAACTCTGGTGCCATGTCACATATAGAAATTTTTTGATATTTGCAACCATAGTAAAACAAAGACTTATTATTTTTGATATTTATTTTATATATTTAAATGCCATTTAACCAAGAAAAATCAACCAAAAAAATGAGTTCGCGTGTCACCTCTGGCACGCCTGTCATAGGTTCGCCATCACTGAATTAGACAGTAGTGATGATTGCACAACCTTGCGAATATACTAAATATTACAGAGGTGAATTAGAAGGGTGAATTGTATGGCATGTGCAGTTTACATCGAACGTTTTAAAAAGCAGCACAGTGTGGAATTCCAGGGTCCTGAGTTACCATAAATGTTTCAGCGTCTGGTTGACTTTCAGCATCTCTGCCATGCTCTCTGCCACTTCGTCGTCGAGGTCATTCTGGGTGAGCCTGGGGAGGAAAGGGGTGTTTACTCGGAGAGCCCTCTCTGGCACACGTTTCTAAAGGGGTTCCCCGCCTTTCGAAAGGACTCCGGCAATTACCAGAATATTCTCAGCGACGTGTTCCAGTGCAAGGCCTGCGCGAGGCTCTTTCCTCCTTCTGTGGAAATGCCGTTGGAAGCCAAACTAGACAGGAAGACACGTGGGGAGGATTATTACACGAGGCTTTGGCTTCAGCAGCCAGAACAGCCAGGAAGCCTCGCCGGCAGCCACCCAGGCGCTGCTGCTCCAGGGCACAGGCTCAGAGCATGAGGTCAGGTGGGGACACTGGACCTGGGGGAGACCGGGTCACCGTGCAGACCCGAGGCTGAGGCCTGGCCAGCTCTGCTTCAGGGGCTGACATCCTCGTGAGAGCTGGAGAAGTCTCCTGTCCTCCCAGAGCAGGGACTGCCGTCCTGCCGTCTCAGATCCACTCCAGTGGCAGGAAGGACGCGAGCAGCGGGGGACACCGAGGCTCTGAGGTTTGGCCAGAAGGACAAAGGGTCCCCTCTGTCCCAGCACCCGCCTTGAGAATGAGGAAGGGGCAGGAATCTGCTGCCCAGTGTCCCTCTCAGTTGTATCTGGACTTAAGAATTCCTCCCACCCCCACGGGGCATGGGGACACGGCCGAGGGGCTGGCAGTGTCCTCTGTCTCGACCTGGGGGGGTGGTTATATGGGTGGGTGCCTGTGTCAGATCACCGAGCTGAACACAGAGTCGTGGACTTTACTCATTTAATATGATGTCTCCTATATGTCCATAGAAACGTTTAAAAAGAAACACACACACACACACACACACACACACACACACACACACACCTCTCTCATTAGGAAAGCCAGCCGCCCTCTTCCCTTGGCTCCTCCCCTGCGACCCCAGGGACACACGAGTGACAGGCTGGCCCCTGGAGTCCACAGTGTCAGACACAGCAGTTACCTCAGGTTGGTCAAGCTGGGGTGGTTCCTCAGAGCCTCTGCGAAGGCCTTTGCTCCTTCATCGCCGATTTGATTGCCCCACATCCTGAGGGCAGAGGCAAGACAGTGAAGGGGAGCGCCTGCTCCCCCTGGCCTGCTGGTGGGGCCACAGCGAGGCTGTCCACTTGCAGGCGGGCGTTGCTGCTCCATCCCTGGAGCTGTGGCCTGGAGGCAATTCCTACACCAGCCCCTAGTGAGCTGTCAGCCTGTAGTGAGCTGTCAGGCCCGTAGTGAGCTGTCAGCCTGTAGTGAGCTGTCAGCCTGTAGTGAGCTATCAGCCCGGTAATGAGCTGCTTGGGGTTTCAGAGTCAAAGGGACCCGTCAGGATAAAGAGCGTTTCCCGGGCAGAAGCCAGTGGGGCCCCTGAGGGCCCCCGTGAAGCTCCTGTGCCTCCCCACAGCTTGCCCAGCGGCCCTGTCGGTGTATTAGGAACAAGAAGACCAGCAGGTGCTCACGGACAGACCAGGCTGGGTTATGCACACACGTGTGCAGTTGTCTCTACTCACCCGATTTCAAAGATGGACTTGCTGTTCTTCACGGCCAGGGCGAGACACTTTCCTCCCTCGCTGGTTATCTGGTTTTTCCCCAGTCTGCAGAGAGAGTTGAGCCTGTGTCAGCCTCCTGCTGGGAGGGGACTCGGTCACCCTCACCCCCAGCACAGAGCCCCTCTGGTCCCTCTTGGGGGTGTGGCCTTTCTCTGGGACCCACAGCAGCTATGCCTCACACTCCCACTCGGAAGGACCCAAAGGCCGGAGGAGACCAGTCGGGATTCCGCTCCAGGTGATGGTAACAATCTGCAGAAGCTCAGTGACCGGAGCAGTCCCCGGGGTTCTTTAAATGACCGCCGAGCGTCACTCATTTCCATCAGCAGAGTAAGCATCAGCAGAGTAAGGAGGTGCTGGCTTCAGCCACAAATGGTCAAGGTGAGTGTCCCATCACCAGGGCTCCTCCAAGTCTGCTGCTCTGTCACCGGGCAAGGCAAGCTCTTCCTGGCAGCTAGATGGGTGCTATGGTCTGAATGTGTGTGTCCTCCCACAAGTCATGTTCCAAAATCCCAACCCCCAGGGTGATGGCATTAGGAGGTGGGCCTTTGGGAGGTGCTCAGGTCATGAGGATGGAGCCCTCAGGATTGGGGTTAGTGGCTTATAAAAGAGGCCCCTCTCCCCCTTTCCCACCAGGTGAGGACACAGCGAGGCCCCATCTATGGACCAGGAATCAGGCCCTCACCAGACACGTAATCTGCCACCACTTTGGTCTTGGACTCCCCAGCCTCCAGAACTGTAAGAAATGAATTTCGGGTGTTTATAAGCAGCCTAGCTTATGGTATTTTGTAATAGAAGCCTGAAGGGCCAGGCTGGTGTGGCTCAGTGGTTGAGTATCAACCAGGAAGTCACGGTTCGATTCCCGGTCAGGGCACATGTCCGGGTTGTGGGCTCGATCCCCCGTGTGGGGCGTGCAGGAGGCAGCCGATCAATGATTCTCTCTCATGATTGATGGTTCCATCTTTCTCCTTCTCTCTTCCTCTCTGAAATCAACTAATATCTATCAATCTATCTATCTATCTACCTAAATATATCTAGATATGTATACATATAGGTATATATAGATATAGATAGATATAAACATATAGATATAGATATTTATTAAAAAGCCCGAAGGGGAAAAGGAACTTCAAAAATGGTGATAGCTGCGGCCTTTCTTCCTGTTATTAATTATTGTCATTAATTAAAATGCCAAGCTTTCCAGCCACCAATTGTAGGAGGTCCCTCCAGACTCCGAGCCTCACCCACAGTTGATAAATCCTGCACGTGGACTGTTCACCTGCCACACACAGGTCTCCTAATTCACCAGTAAGGCCCCCGGGGAAGCAGAAGGCGGCTTTGGGGTGAGAGTCTTCATGGTGACATTTATGTGTTTGAATAAAGAGCCTGCCACGCCCGCCCCACTTACTTAAGGTGTGTGAGGCCTTTGCACTCATCCAGGATGCTGGCGATGTACCCGGCTCCGACATCAGTGATCTGGTTGTTGTATAAGCTTCGAGAGAAAGCACAGTCAGAACACGTGATGAGACCCGATGTCATCTTAATGAGCCCAGTTTTAAAAGCTGAGTATGTGCCGTCTGGGTTGAAAGAAGAAAGAAAGGGCACGTGGGGACCAGAGTTTGGGGCTCTGGGGCCTCACAGGCTGGGTTCAGAGCCGCTCTGCCGCTCTCCAGCTTTATGACCTGCGGCAAGTTCCTCAACGCCTCCGTGCCTCAGCTTCTCCCTCTGTGATACTGGGGTGAGAATGACAGCTCCCCGACAGGGCTGTCATGAGGACCATGTGAGATCCCTCCAAGCCCTCGCACGTCACATAAGTGCTCAATAAATGACCGGCGACGGGTATTTTTAGATGAAGATACTGATGAGCATCTTGACCGGGGAAGCTTCTGAGTATTGGGACCTCCTCAGTGTCTGCCTTTCCGTCATTTTGCCACTTGATACCAATTCAAAAAGTCGCCCCAAGAAGTGGGAAGTGGGAACTGCACGGATGCACAGAGCTCCGAGCTGAAGGGCAGCCTAAGGGAACCGAGGCCCAAAGAAGCTGATGGGCACCAACAGTGGCCGTGGGGCTGGCTGTGCGGGCCCACAGTCCCTTATCTCAACTCCAAAATGCCAGACTCTGAAAACCCAGTTTTTCGTCACTACTTTGGCAACTGACATGGAGCTGTTCACAGTCCGCATCCAACTGGCTCGAATAGTCATACGCTTGGCTGCAGAAATATGAAAGGATTTAAAAAGGGGGTCCCACCCTAGACCCCACTGGCCATGTCACCACTACTCAGCTTGTGCATTGGATTCTGGCCTCTGTCTTGCCTCCAGGGTTCTGGACATGGGATCATGGGCCCAGAGCAAGTGAAGCCTGATGAATAAACAGTATTCTAATGTTTAGAAAACGAGCCCTAGATACCTTCTCATTGCAACCCCCGGCCACCACTCGTAAAGCCACGTGCCTATATTATTAGGATCCCAATGATACAGCGAGGAGGCTGAGGCCCAGCGTGATTTCCCGACTTGCTCCAAGAGTGGGCTGCTGGCTGCATCCAAAGCAGAACCCGGACTCCTGGCTCCCCATCCAGTGCTCTTCCTGTGCCCTTGGCCCTCAGTCCCAACCATCTGATCACTCACGGAATGGCAGTCTCCTGCTGCTCTGTATCTTTACAAGAACCCTGTAGCCAGCCCAGGGTTCTGGAGACATACGTACCCTAAATACGTCAGGATTTTGTACTTGGTCAGCTCTTCATATAGCACCTTGACCCCACTGTCAGTGACCTGGTTTACGCTGAGTCTGAAACAAAACAGCAGAGAAAGTTACACATCTGAGCAGCTGCTCACTAGGAGGGAGCATTCACTCCACCGGGATGCAGAAGCCTCCAGGTCCTGGCCTTTTCCAGCCGTAAATGCCCCGAGAGAATGGCCGGAACAGTGAGCCACACAGCGTCTGGTCATCGTGGGGCCGGCAGACCCACCCAGAGCCAGCCCACCGGTGAGGGGACACGTGAAGGCCACGTGCGGACAGCCTCCTCTGAGATCCTGCGTTTGGGGGCAGCCTGGTGAGAAGGAGCCAATATGTAAACAAACGGTTGCGGCTGTGTTCCAATAACACTTCATCTACAAACAAGCCACACTGGGCCACAAGTTGACCTTTTTATTTTATTTTATTTTTTATTTTTTTATTTTTTTAAATATATTTTATTGATTTATTACAGAGAGGAAGGGAGAGAGAGATAGAGAGTTAGAAACATCGATGAGAGAGACATCGATCAGCTGCCTCCTGCACATCTCCCACTGGGGATGTGCCCGCAACCCAGGTACATGCCCTTGACCGGAATCGAACCCGGGACCCCCCAGTCCGCAGGCCGACGCTCTATCCACTGAGCCAAACCGGTTTCGGCCAAGTTGACCTTTTTAATAAGTAAAAGTAAGCTTGTAAATCAAGCTGAGGAGGTAAAAGCTTGATTTTTAGGCCTCATCCGAATGACCAGGTCAGACACTCTGGGCCTCTCCCCCAGTGCTACCCACCTTGGTGCTGGGGCAGAGTGTGCACCCACATGCATTGCCATCCCATATCTATGCTTTCTTAGAAACATACTCCCCCCCCTTTTTTTTTTAGCTAGGCACATGTGATCAAGTTATGCCCAATGAAATCTAAGCAGAAGACTCATTAGCAATAGCCGAGGAGACTTCTTCAAACAATGAGGTGTGTCCTTCTTTGCCCTTCTTTCTTCCTGGTGGCTGGGATGTTGACTGAACGGCTGGAGCTTGTGCAGCCACCTTGGGCCAGGAGGTGGAAGTCAGGTAGTGAGGGGGCAGGTAGTGAGGGGGCAGGGTAGCAGGCAGAAGAGCCTGGGCTCCTGAGGCCATGGAAGCTCCCAAGCAGCCCAGAACTGTCCTCTGCTAGACTTTTGCATGAGAGACAAGTAAGCTTGTAAATTATTTAAACCACCACTATTTTGAGTTTTCCTCTCAGCATAAATTAATCCTAACTAATGCCCTCAGGGAGCTCAAAATGCTTCCCTGGGGTAACCCATTTCCTCCTGCTTCCCCTTCACGGGTGGAGTTTTCATCCGATGAGAGGAGCACAGGGTGGCACTGAGTGTAAGACGCCTGAGGCTGCGGACGGAGAGATGCTGGCTGAGCGTAGAGAAAAGACGCAAGGCCTCCCAATTCCCAGGCCAGGGCAGCTTTGGGCTCCCTATATCACACTGTCCCCACACAGTTTATACTGTGGTACTGGTGTAACGGGCACCCAGAAGCAATTCAAATCCCCTAGGCTCTCCAGAAATGCATGAGCCAAGTAAAGGAGAACTACCTCGCCCCCAGGAAAGATTTACAAGGTGTATACAGGAAGTGCTATTAGAAGAAAGCAGGCTGGCCTCCCTTTTCTATAGATATAAAAGACTAAGAGACTGAATGACTGAACGACCGGTCGCTATGACGCGCACTGACCACCAGGGGGCAGACGCTCAATGCAGGAGCTGGCCCCTGGTGGTCAGTGCACTGCCACAGCCAACCTCCCGCTGGCCAGCCTGCCCCCCCTATCCCCCGATAGCCGGCCAGGCCGAGGGACCCCACCCGTGCACAAATTCGTGCACTGGGCCTCTAGTCTTTAAATAATCAAACAGGAAGCTAATCAAGAGTCAACAATGAGTCATTGTTTTTTACTGAGATCCCTGGAAGCTCAGGGCTGCTGGCTTTGATCATGGGAAGCAACTAATGCTAATTAGCAAAAAGTCTGCCTTTTCTGCAATCGCAAACATGGGCTATCTTGGAGCCTCACATAAATCTTAAAGGGCAGGTTCTTTTTTATTCTGGCTCCACCATGGCCCAGCTGTGTTACCTTGAGCAACTTACTAATTTCTCTGTGCCTCTACCTCCTCCTTTGCCAAAATAAAGACAATAACAGTATCTACCTTACAAAATTGTGTTTTGGATTTTTTTAAAAAATTAAATGTATTTTATTTGTTTATTGTTTTTGAATTTATTGGGGTGTGTTAAGAGGATTAAATTAGGTAACATTTGTAATGACTTCATCTACTCAATAAATGCTTGATTGATCTTACAGTTGACCTTTGAACAACATGGGTTTGAACTGTGCAGGTCCACTTATATGTGGATTGTTTTCAATAAACATATTGAAAAAATTGGGGGCATTTACAAAAATCTGAAAAACTCACAAACGTTATAGCCTAGAAATATTGAAAAAATTAAGAGAAAGATATATCATGAATGCATAAAATATATGTATTTTCTCTTATGACTTTAATAACATTTTTGTTTCTCTAGCTTACTTTAAGTATACAGTGTCTAATACATGTAACATACATAATATGTACAGGGGTGAGCAAAAGTAGATTTACCATTGTTCGTATGGAAAATAATACAATAATTAATAATAATACAATTATAAACTGTGTTTCGCATATGCAAAACTGTAAACCTACTTCTGCCACATGCTGTATTGATCAATTATTTATGTTCTCGGTGAGGCTGCCAGGCTATTAGTAGTTAAGTGTTTGGGGAGTCAAAAGTTACATTATGTGGATTTTTGGCTGCAGGGGGTCAGCATCCCTAACCCCTGCGTTGTTCAAGGGTCAACTGTACTGCAGTTGCTAGGATACGAGCATCTCCTTTTCCAGATGAGGACACTGAAGCTCAGAGAGATTAAGCAACTTGTGGAAGGACACCCAGCCGATGCAGGTCTGCCTGACTTCAAAGCTTTGTTCCTTGACCAAAGTCACCCCAATCAATTTAATAATAATAAATAAATAAATAAATAAATACATAAAAGCTTTGTTCCTTGCTCTCAGCCACCTGAGATAGAGAAGGTCTGGAAGTTCCAAGACCGGTGGTCGTGATTGGCAGGGTAATCCAGGAGACCCCACTCCATGACATTAGTCCTGGTGTCGCCTGGCCCGCCCCACCCCGGCCCGCCAGTGCTCCCAGTGCCCAGCGGCCTCACCTGATGACCGTGAGGCAGCTGAAGCAGGGCTGCAGCTCCCGCACGCCGTAGTCGTTGAGATTGTTGTTGTCCAGATCGAGGGCCAGCCGCTTGCGGAAGTGGTGCAGGACGAAGGAGAGGGCGCTGCAGTCGGCCGAGTAGGCGTTGCAGTAGGTCAGCTTGAGGTAGTTGGCGCAGATGCCCTTGGCCGCCAGCTGCCCCACCTTCTCGCTCTGCGTCTCGTAGATGCAGCGCAGCATCCAGATGAAGGTGGGCATGGCCTGCACCTGGTTGAAGCCCCCAGACCGAGTGCGGGGCAGGTTCTTCAGGTAGGTCCGCAGGCTGGCGAACAGGTGCGCCCACAGGGCCTTGCGCTTTCTCCTCAGGGCAGCGGCCGGCACCAGGTGTCGCAGGAGTTTCTGTTTGGCTTTGGACAACAGCCCGCACAGGAAGAGGTTGGTGAACTGAATGTGGTCCTTGTTCCTGAAGGGGTTGTCCCCCGCCGGGCCGCGGGCCCCCAGGCACGGGAAGGGGAAGAAGGGGGCCGAGCAGGCCTCCACTGCTGCCTCCCCCGGAGGCACCACTCCTGGAAGAACCTGAGCAGCGCCCGCGTGCCCACCTTGGCGTCCACCACGAGGGAGAAGGCGGTGAAGAAGGCCTGGAGGGTGGTGTGGAAAAACTCATAGGACAGCTGGTCCTCTCCGAGGCCCGGCTCGGGCACGGCCCGCAGGAAGCCCAGCTGCAGATCAGCTTCCTGCAGGGCGGCGGCCTGGACCTCCTCCTGGCTGAAAACAAACAGCTCCCTCTCCATGCCCCAGCGGGCCAGCTGCCCCAGCGCGCGCAGGGTAGCCAGGCCGCCTCGGAGGGCCTCCGTCTGGCTCTGCGTGTTCCTCTGCACCAGGCTGGTGGGCTGCGTCCTGTTCAGGTGGACCTCGGTGACCAGCAGGAACACGTCGGTCAGGGTCACCGTGCAGTCGGGCAGCTCTGGGGAGCTGTCGAAGGCGCCGTGGAAATGCTGGAAGCAGCGGAAGATGATCCAGCAGAAGAGGGGCACGGCGCACAGGCTGCAGAGGTTGGGGTTGGCCTCCAGCTGGTCCAGCAGGCGGTCCCGCGTGGCCCGGTCGGGGAACATCCTCTTGGCGTAGGCCCGCAGGTGGCTGCGGGAGAAGCCCCGCAGGAGCACCTTCTTCCGAAGGAGCTGGCGCGGGATCTCGATGCCCGTGCGGGCCGTGAGCAGCTTGGTGGCCCCCTTGAGCAGCACCCCGCTGAGCAGGTTGGCCAGCAGGACCAGGGGGTGGGCCGGCTCCCAGGGTGACGAGGTGTCGGGCACGCGGCTCAGGTCGAAGTCCGAGTGGAGCTCGTCCAGGCCGTCGAAAGTGAAGAGGGCGGTGTGGGGGAAGCGCACCAGGAAGGCGAACACCTCCTCGGGGTCCTGCTCCGGGTAGCAGCAGTGCTTGAAGAGCAGGTCCTGCAGACTCAGCATGGCTCCCTCCTTGAAGCAGCTGAACATGCGGCAGCGGAAGTGGAAGGAGAACTTGAGCCGCGCGTCCAGCTGGCCGGCGGCCCAGAGGCTCTGCAGCCGCTGCAGCAGCATGGACTTGCCCACGCCCGCGTCGCCCGAGACGAAGATGGTCTCGCCCTGCTCGTTGAGGACGCCCGTGGAGTGGTCCAGGAGGCGGGCCAGGCTGCCCGGGCTGCCCAGGCTCTCGTTGCTGAAGCTGACCAGCTCCATGATGGTGTCCGTGTACACCTCCTCCAGCAACACCTCCTCCTTCTGCGAGTAGCACAGGATGAACTTGGAGTCGCGGCCCAGCTGGTGTCGCAGCTTCTGGATGTACCTGCTCACTGGAGGGGGGTGGGGTGGATGGGGTACCCGCATCCAGGGGTAGGGGTGGGGGTGAGGGTGGTGAGGGAGCCCAGGAGAGGTGGAGGCAGAGAGAGAGAGAGAGAGAGAGAGAAGCAGAGACCAAGCAATCAACCAGGGAGGCTGCAGGAGAAACAAGCACACAGATAACCCCACAGGCTGGACCCTGAGGCCAAGGGCCAAGATGCCTCAAATGTAGGTCCTGAAGACACTCGGGGAGCCAGAGCTCCAGGATCTGTAGGTCGTCAGCCTTGACAGCTCCGCCTGACCTCAGACTTAGCCAGCCAGAGGGTGACGGCTTCAACTGGGCCCAGAGTCTGGGACAGGCTCCCTGGTCCTCTGCACAAGTGGTCATTTTTAAAACTCCAGCTAAAAACTGAAGCTCCCTCACATTCCAGGGCCAGGCCCTGGGGCCCTGCCGGCCCCGCCCCCCCATCCCCAGGACCCTGTTTGACTAGCTAGACTCTAGCAGTGGTTCTCAACCTGTGGGTCGTGACCATCGGAAAACACATATAGCATATCAGATATTTACATTACGATTCACAACAGCAGCAAAATTACAGTTATGAAGTAGCAATGAAAATAATTTTATGATTGGTGGTCACCACAACATGAGGAACTGTATTAAAGGGTCGCGGCATTAGGAAGGTTGAGAACCACTGAGCTAGAGCCAGACCCCATGGAAACCCGTGCTGTTGAGAAATTGCCCTGACCTTTCTATGGCTTACTGTGCTGCTCTGGAAGCAACTCGTAGTCTCACAAAATCACATGCCAAGACTTTTGGTGATGAAATGAGCACTGGATGTTACTCTGGGTGACAAAGGAGCTGTGTCTCCTCTGAATCACCTCCAGTGAGTAAAGGAAGATGAAAGCAGCCTTCTTACCCTAGGAAGGGCACACCAGCCCTGTTCCCAGAGGAGACCTGGGCCGCACTGACGTTTAGCACGTGCCCCAGGGTGACCCCTCTGCCTGCCCCAGGGGCGCAGACGAAATGACATGCTTACATGGCGCCATGCTTGCAGCAAACCAGAGCTCAGAAATGGGGCTCACACCAGAAGGGAGGTGGTCCTTCCCCACACTCAAGGTGTCCCGGGCCCTGGCATCCAGCACACCGCCCTGGCACATTAACACCTGTTGCCTAAGGGGGTGCCACAGTGCTTTGCAAATAAGGACTGGCAGTCAGGGGTGACAAAAGAATACGTTGCCTGGAAAGATTTTTAAAAAGGAAAAAAACGCAACCTTGAACTTGTGCAACTATGAGAATAGGAAGAGAGCAAGAGGTCAGAACAGAGGCATTCCCCCACTTCCACAGGCCCCTGCACAGAGCAGACCAGCTGCCTGCGGTCACTTCCATGACAGCCCCCCTGGGCTGCACGTGGGCGACAGGGACAGCTCTCCTTTGCTATAAGGAGCACAGCACCCGGGCAGGAAGGCAGGGCTGGCCGTGGTGGACCAGCTTCGTGTCCTCTAGAGCCTACAGCCTTTCCAAACCTTGGGCTGTGTGCTTGGTGTCTGCGGTCCACAGACACCCCCCCTCCCCCCAACCCCCGCATATACACACACACACACACCCTGTCCCAGCTGACTCCTACCTGGATCAGTGTTGACAACAGTTTTGCTCTGAATGAGCTTGGAAGGGGAGAAGCCGATCTCCACCAGCCAGGGCCTGAGGTCCACGTAAGCATCTTCGAGTCGCTGGAGCACGAGGAGGAGGAACTCGGACACCTCCTCGCCCTTGCTCTGTACCAGGTCCAGAATCTTGCGCACCTGGTGGCGGCACAAGCATGAGGGCGTGAGCGTGGCCCTAGGGGTGCGCACCCATTGGAAAGGCCCACAGCTCTTACTACAGCCCCATCCAGCCAGCCAGAGGAAATGCTATGTGTTGAAGGCCTAGAATCTGTGGACTGGGCCACCTTCGCTGGAAATAAAGCCACGCAGCTCTACAAAACCAGGAGGCTCCCGTGGGCCTAAAAGTAAGGTTAGACTCACAGCTCTGCACTGTGCTCCGTGTCTCCTTTTCTCTCTTAAACTAACACCACTGCTCTCTAGGAATGCATCTCAGGGGAGAAAGTCACCCCTTCGGCATATGAGGTGGGCATTGGACTCCTATGTAAGTTATACCGTTAGAAAGGCTTTTTATATTATTAAAAACTAGAGGCCCGGTGCATGAAAATTCATGCACTGCATGAAAATTCATGCACTGGAGGGGGGTCCCTCAGCCCAGCCTGCCCCCTCTCACAGTCCAGGAGCCCTCAGGAGGGGAAGGCGACGCCCCCATCACACCTCTGCTGCTGCCACTGTCAGCAGCGTAAGCCTTGGCCAGCCCTGGTCACCTGCGCCTCGGGCGGCCCTGGGTGGCTGGGGGGCTGAGGGGACGGGGGACTCTGGAGGCAGGCATGCAGAGTGGCTGAGGGGACTGGGCACCACCATCTTGTGGCTGTGGGCGCTGCCATCTTTGAGGGTGTGGCAGTCAATTAGCATATTCCCTCCTTATTGGCTGTGGGCGCCGCCATCTTCGAGGACGGGGCAGCAATTAGCATATTCCCTCCTTATTGGCTGATCTCTGCGACAGCATGAGGGTAAGTTAGCATATTCCCTCTTCATTAGATAGGATGAAGGGGGTAAATTACAACAGTGAGCTACTGTGCTTTCCCAGAAACCCTTCAGGTCTCTTTTGAGTCCAGCAGGCTTGTGTGGCAAACAGGTCTGTCACTCCTCTAAGCAGGGAGGAGTGTGGGGTCTTGCCTGTTTTATTTTTCAGGTGACACAAGGCTGTAGTGAAACGAAGGGCTGTTCAGACTTCCCACAGTGGAGTGGGGAGGATTCTTTACTGTGGACCCGGCTTTGAATGCAGTCATTCCCAGACCAGAGGGCCATGCTGAGTCTCAGCAGCTCGCAGCTCGCCGCGTTTAAAGGCCCTGATCAGGGGTGGGGAACGTCCTCCCACAGGCCGTATGAGGCCCATGGAATCATTTGGTCTGGCCCTGCCCAGGCAGTAGGGGCGAGTTCATTAAATGTTTGACCAAATAGAGCAGGCTGATTTTTAAGTTGATAATTCTGTATTATCAGCCAGCAAATGATGACATAACTATCTAAGTGGCCCCTGGCAGAAATAGGTTCCCCGCCCTGCAACGTCCAGCTGGTGCTCTATGCTTGTTTTCTTTCTCCCTTCTACTCAAAGTGAAGTTAAGAATGGGCTGGTGGGGGGCCAATGCGCACGGCCAGGAGAGGGATGGGCGGCTGCACTTGATATGAACAGAGATACAACACATAGTTGTGTAACAAGCCCATCAGGCAAGGCTTATGTTCTAGAAATGGCTGCGATGGGAAATTCTGCCCAACGTACTTGGCATCCTGCCAAGGCCACCCCCCCTACCCCCCATCCCCGGCACCTTGTCGGGCTGCGTGGGGCAGGCGCCCACGATCTCCGCGTCTTCGGCCGAGAAGTACTCATTCTCCAGCAGGTTGTCCACCAGACACTGCGTGCTGCGGATGTGAGTGACCAGCAGTTCACGGTTGGTTTTCAACAACTTAATGTGGGAGTGAAGAGGCTCCGACGGGGCTGTGTCCATCTCACCGCGGTCCCGCTTCTCCATGGTTAAAGCAGCAAGTGGCTCCGGGTCCCAGGTTCATCCTGGCTGCACGTGTCTTCCCGGCGGAGGACAATCGGGACCCAGGGCCCCTGGCTCTCAGTGCGGCCCCTGAAGAGACGACTGCAATCACCAAGAAGGCCTGGGCCAAACGGTCCCTCCCTCTTCTGGTCCCGGACTATGTCTACCCAGAGCAGGCGGAGTCATGCTCACACAGTGACCTGAGGCCATGGAAGAAAACATCCTCACTGAAATGTGTCTACTGGGGGTGCCATTGCTAAGGTGGGTGATCAGAGGTAAACAGACCCTTTTGTTGGCTTGTCTTAGCAAAACTTTTAAATGATTATTTTTATTTTAAAGTGTGCCTCAATCCTAGACGAGAATAGAGATGAAAAAGTATATTATTTTCCATAAAAAGGTGAACTGGGACTGGGAGCCTCTTCAATACCATAACAGTCGGTTCACACCTATTTTGTATGTTACATGTATTACATACTGTGTTCTTACAAAGTAAGTGAGAGAAAAGAAAATACTGTTAAGAAAATCATAAGGAAGAGAAAACACACTTACAGTATTTACTGAAAAAAAATCTGCCTATAAGTGGACCGGCGCAGCTCAAGCCCATGTTGCTCAAGGGCCTTGGTACCTGTGTTTTCTGTACCTTTCCCATCATCGCGTGTTTCTTGGAACCACCGAGACCCTCTTCTGCGCTGCAGAAGCTGGTTTCTGACAGGTGCTCTGCTCACCTGGTTTTCAGTTTATCAGGAAGAGTGAGACCCACCCACCAGCCCTTGCTCTGTGAAAGCCCCGCACCTGGGAAATCCCATGCGCCAAACGGAGGATCAAATGATGCTCAATGGTAGCACCTTCCTTGGCCAGGCCCTGCCTGCCTGAGCCGCTAAGGCAAACCTGAGAGCCTTCGCCAGCTGCCAATCACATGACAAGATGCTGTCACCAAGGGGACCGAGGCAGGCGGGCCTGGGTGCTGGGGAGCCTCCAGGAGGTGGCGGGCCCTGCCACCCTCTCTTGAGGGCTGTGTTGCTAGGGGACCCCAGCAGGGCACAGAGTAAGCGCGCTGCTGGGCCCAGCACGGGTCTAATGCTCTCCTCTCGCTGGGAGAGGCAGGATAACACAGGTTAGACCTGGTCTCTACATCGGCCCGGCTCATCAGCCAGTTAACCATCCTCCCCGTGCCTCAGTTTCCTCACAATGAGAATCCCTACCTCCAAGGGTTCCTGTAAGGACTAAGTTAATATTCACCAGGTGCCTAGATCAGGGCTGGCCTACAGCAAATACTCAGTAACTATCACCTCATTTAATCTTCAATCGCTCCATCCTTAGGATAGCCGTAGGTGGTCACTGGTCCTGTTGGTTTACAAACCAGGAAACTGAGGCACACAGAGGTTAAGGAGCTCCCTCCCTGCACTCATAGGGTTTACAGTCCGGCAGAGCAGACAGTGTGGTGAGCATAGGGGATGGATGAGAAATGGACTGAGAGGGCCAGGGCATCCATAGCTCTACCTCGGGCTGCCTTGTCCCCCTGGAGCCCTCTGTAGTGGAAGGGAGACGTGGGTAGAGCCCCTGTCTTTTAGGGAACTTGAACTTGAGACATCCAGAGAGTCCCAATAGCCCCTAACACACGAGTGGTGGGTCAAGGTCGCCCACTGCTGAGGGATGTAGTCTCCAGGTCACCCAGACCTGCCAACCCTTCTCCCGGATGTCAAGGGTCGTTTCCGACGCTCCTCACAGCCTCCTCAGACCGTTTGCCATGAAGAAGACAGTGACACCATGTGTGTTGCCAGGAACCACTTGGATATTCAAGGACAAAATGGTGATGGGAACAGCACGGCCTCCCCGCTCGCCAGCTGCCCCCCGGCAATCGAACAGGAAGCTAGCCGCGGGCACACGCCACGCAGCACGGACAGAGCCGCACACAGGACTCGTCGCACCGTGGGTCACCTCGAGTGGGTCCTGCTTTCCCTGCTGCACAGCCCACCCCAACATCAGCTCACTTATGCTCCCAGGCTCCAGAAACCCAACAAACTCGAGCCACCATTCTTCAGGGAACCCTGTCTCTCCTGGTTGGCTTTTGTGGGATTTTCTTTTTTTAATCTATTCCTTTTCCTTGTTTTGTTTTCCATCTCTTCACCTGGAGCACAAGTCCAGGCCTGTATGCCTCTGCCATACCAGAAAACGAAGAGCGCCCTCGGGAAAAAGTTAGCAGATGGATGAGGCTACAATTATTATTTGAAGCTTTTAAGCTCCATTAACACTCATTTTCTTGAAGTATCTGAAAGCACTTAATTCCTCAGAATTTCCAAGCAGATTCGAAGTCTCTCTCAATCTCTCCTCTCCTTTTTGCTCTGCCTCCCCGCTCTCTCCCTCCATCTCTCTGTCTCCTTTTCTCTCTCTCTTCTTAACGTACCGGATAGCCTGCACTCCGGACACAGACGCTGTCACCCTGACTACAAAGAAAGGCACGCAGACAGAGCCAATGGGAGTCCTGGGCCAGACGCTGACGGAACACAGACAGCCTTTCCCAGCTGCCGGGCCTTCTGGGAAGCCACGTGCCTGGCTCATTTCTCAGAGCCAAGCATGTCTTTCTGGTCAATAAACTCTGCTGAGTGCATGCAGAGCCAGCCCCGCCCTAGTCTGCTGAAACCACGGACTTCTGGAATAGAACAGAGTGCTGTCCAACACCCCCATTTTAGAGACGAGGAAACTGAGGCCTGGGAAGGGCCGAGGCCTGTCTGGATCAACTAGAACTGGAGCCCAGGTCTCAAGTGCTTCTTCTGCTTCCCTCTGGTTAGAGGAGCTCCCTCAGCAGCTGAGGGTGTCATACCCCCCTCCCTCACCCCCAGCAGAGATGCCAATGGGAAAGGGGCACGGACAGGGACTCTACCTCACCCTGTGCCTCCCTCAGCCTCTCTCTCCCGCTGGAAACTCCCAGGACACTTTATCCCCCCTTCTCAGAGGATGTGGTACTTTCTTTCCTAAATTCCCCCTTCCCATCGATGGGTGGTGGCAGTGAGGACAAAGACACTAGGACCAAGAGACCCGGTTCCAACCAAGAGACCCGGTTCCAATTGATTTGCACAAATGACAGCACCCTCCTGGGCTTCAGTGCTCTTACCCGCAAAATGCAGAGAATAACAGCGCCTACCTCGTGGGACCCCGTGGGGATTCATGAGTGAATACACACACGGCCCTCAGAACAGCGCGGTCACATTGCATGCACTTAGCACAAGCGAGGAGCAGGTGGCCTAGGCCAGGACGTCCGTCTGCTTCATTGTTGAGGCCCAGCATTTGACTATGAGGGACAGTGTCCAGCTGGCTAGTCACTGTATCTCCAGCAGAGATGCGGAGGAAGCCAGATAAAAAAGGGTCAACTGAATGAACCTGGCACAGGGCACTGCCACAGCAGGTGCCTCGTCGGTGCCCGCCAAGGAATCTGTACATTTCCAGAGCTCGTGGGCTCTCAGGGAGGGTCACGTGCCGAGTTTACTCCTGGATAATTTCCGATGTGCAGGCCCCAGTCGTTTTACTGCTCTAAGTTTAACAAGTTTGCCCAGAGCCCAGCTCTCAACTTCAGAGCACCGTCCTGGCACGGAACCCCCTCCTGCTCTGGGACAGCGGCTCACACAGTGCCTTCTGGGGCTGCTATGTCCTTGTTGGCTGCCATTTTCCTGGGGTTGTCAGGTTTTGAAAACCAAAGCTCCAAAAACACCCTGCTTGGTACTCATCTCTGAGGGGCCGGAGAATGCAGACACCTTAATGAAGACAGACGGCCGCGCCTGGAACCAGACCCGGTCTGGAGCTCTGTAAGTGGATGTAAGTGCTTCTGCGGAGGAAAGGGCTACACGGCCACAGGTCCGGAAGACATCCGGAGATGGCACTAAGGACCGACACAGAAGGTGTCTGGGGTTTCTCAAGTGAAAGGCACTCCGCAAGAACAACATACATTAGTCACCTCAGAGGCCGGCGGTGAACTTGGCCTTGGGTACATAAACACTCTGCTGATTGCTGGCCGAGACACTGAGCCCGAAACTGATTCTCCCCACTTGAGTGTGTGTCCGCACTCAGCAAAGGTCTGGGACACAGAGGACCCCGCAGCTTGGCCGGAGGGTACCTGCGACATGTCGGGGCGGCTCCAAGGGGCACTGAGAGGTTGGGAAGATGCCAAGTTCTCCCGAGGTGGCACACCCTGGGCCTGGACCGCCCCGTGGGGTGCTGTGGTAGAGCAGGCCGCCCAGCCAGCCGAGACACACCTGACCTGCCGCTTCCTCTCACTCTGTGACCTCACGACAACCTCCCAGGAGCGAGGGGGAACGGGTCGTGTGGGCCCCTCCACACCAGCGGGCACGCACTGTGGGTTCTCGGCCCCTCGCCATTCGGAGGCTTTTTCTGTGCCCTGAAAGCCCCAAATAAAGAATTTTTCCCTCTAAACCCTGTACCTTTCAAGTGTATGCAAGTTCCCCGGTGAGCAGTGGGGTGTAAGGAAGAGGGTGATGAGCAAGGAACTTTTTAAAAGGTGGTGAGTGTGCGCGGAAAAGTCCCCTGCACCTCTGATGGGATGGTGTTTAAGTGCTGTCATGCCCATCTGAGCCCCGTCCCGGGAACTGCCAACCCCAGTTTCTGTCTTCCCAAATACCCCACACTCCTTTCTGGGGGGAGGTATGTTTTATTTCAGATGACATTTATCTGAAAATAAACATCATAATCCACTTTCATAACATCAGTTGATGCCAGTATCAGGTTCCCCCACCCTACCCCACCCAGCGGCTATTAGCTCACCCAGCGTAAACAACGGCTGAGGTTAAAAGTTGCAAATCTGGGTGGATTCATAAGCAGGAAGTTCTTCGGAAGTGGGGCCCTGTGTCCAGAAACACAGCTCTACAAAGAGCATCAACAAGCACGCCTGCCAGTCAGTGACAGGAGCTGAGCATAGAGGCTGGGGGACTCCCTGAGCACGGGTTCAGTGCCTAGCAAATGGGGGCCTGTTTCAAATCTTCGGTGCAGCACTTGCTGTCCAGTGACTTGGGGCTAGTTAGTTAGCCTCATTGTGCCTCAGTTGTCCCATCTGTAAAATGGGGGAAATGATAGCTACTGCACAGGATTGTTAGAAAGATTAAATGAGCAAAAAAAAAAAAAGCCCCAAACCTAAAGCCTTTGGAGCAATGCTGTACACCAGGGGTCCTCAAACTTGTTAAACAGGGGGCCAGTTCACTGTCCCTCAGACCGTTGGAGGGCCGGACTATAGTTAAAAAAAAAAAAAACTATGAACAAATTCCTATGCACACTGCACATATCTTATTTTGAAGTAAAAAAACAAAATGGGAACAAATACAATATTTGTATTTGCATGTGGCCCGCGGGCCATAGTTTGAGGACCCCTGCTGTACACAGTAAGTCGTGTAAGTGTTGGCCATTATTATCCAGGGTCTACCAGGTCAGCTGCATCATCATTTACTTCCTTTCAAGCCTCACACCAACCTTCCAGATGGGTAGAGTTAGCCCCATTTTACAGATAGAAACGGGGGCTCATGAGGATTAAGTACCTTATTTAAAAGCAACATAACCAGGAGATGACAAGACGAGCCCTTGACCCCAAGGAGCCATCATAACCATTATTAACATAATAATGGCCATTTACTGAAAGCCGGTTGGTGTGCTAAACACTTGACACCGATTATTTCATTAAATACTCAAAACTGCTCTAAGGAAAGAATTAGTGTAACTATTTTACAAAGGAGGACGTGGGGCTGGAACAGTGAAATATGTTGGCTGAGGTCACACCGTAATTTAGGGAATAAAGCAGGGGCTTGGTCCCAGTTCTGACACCGAAACCCATCGTTTCTTCCACGAAAGGCCTGCCTGTCTGGTATTTTGTTATAGATCTTTTATCTCCACTTGAAATCATCAATGTGCCTGAGTTCACATGACATGTAAGACCCTGGCCTTGTTCAATAAAGTCCAGGAACGGCCCTCTCCATCCGGGGACCCATCTATTGTCCTAGATTGTAAGGAGTCAAGCTCTCCCCCTATAAAAGCCTAGTTTTCTATCCATTTCCTTCTAGAAAGTTTGGGTTGAGGATCTGAGATAGCAATTGGGAAGTGGGCTAAAACAAATCACAGGAAGTTCTGAGTCACTAGACTTTTATCCTTTGGGAATTAGAACAACCCAAATATTTTCTCAAGTAAATCATCATCTGCTCACAGATCTTCTTCTTCCATGGAAGGATTTCCCTCAGCAATATGTGACTGCCCTACCCAGTTACACGTGGCTCGGAAAATACCTACCAGTCACTACATCTTTACCGCCCCAACCTCTATGGTGGTGCGAACACATGGACGGGCCAGGGATATCCGCATCCCGAAACAAAGGTATCACAGTGGCGACTTCATGTTTTATCAAAACGTGAACCAACCAAAACCTGGTGCTAACCGGGTGCTCCCTTTGCAATTATGTGGGCCTTCATGCTGACCTACTTATTAGCTCTTTAAACTACAGTTTTCTATAACTTACTAGAAGCCCAGTGCACAAATTCGTGCACCAGTGTGGTCCTTCAGCCTGGCCTGCAGGATGGGGCCAAAACCAGCTCTCTGACATCCCCCCAGGGGTCCTAGATTGCGAGAGGGTGCAAGCCAGGCCAAGGGACCCCACCGGTGCACGATTGGGGCCGGGGAGGGACATGGGAGGTTGGCCAGCCGGGGAGAGATCACAGGAGGGCTCCAGGGTGTGTCCGGCCCATCTAGCTCAGTTCTGATTGGCTGTACCCCAGCCGCAAGCTAACCTACCGGTTGGAGTGTCTGCCCCCTGGTGGTCAGTGCATATCACAGCAACTGGTTGACCGGTCAACTGTCTTCCCCCTAGTGGTCAGTGCAAGTCATAGCGAGCGGTTGAGCGCCTTAGCACATCATTAGCATATTATGCTTTGATTGGCTGAACAGCCGACCAGTTGACCGGACACTTAGCATATTAGGCTTTTATTATATAGGATAGGAACATTACTATTTAGGAAAACAAATTCCAAAGAGCCAGTCTACTCAGTTTACTAGAGATACCCTACTGGTTTTAATGACGTGTAACACAAAACAGCCTTGCTGACACTAAAGCAGCACATTTCTTGCTAGGGCACTCTGCCCCATCAGAGGGCCAGGCCACCCTCAGAGTGACAGCATCCCCTGCCCGGCTGGCTCCCTGGCTCCAGAGGCTGGAAAGATGGCAAAAGGGAGGGGGTGGCAGCAAGTTTGCCTTGGCTGACTCTGCTCTGTAATCTCGGCCCACAGTCTGGTCTGGGGCAGTCCTGGATAAAACACAAGACTAAGAATTCAAGCCAGGAAGTCTTGCTTCCTAGCAATGGAGGAAAACCATCAATTAATGGAAATGCCAGTGACTACTCACTTCTCAGTACAAGAGTCAAGTTTGGGAAAAACACTTGCCCTCAGTGAGCATTTGATGTGCCAAAGAGTTTTCCTCCAAACCAGTTCGGACTCTGTGTGTGGATGAAAGGAGGCCCTTGCTGTGAGGCACAACTGACTTTGCCCAGAAGATAAAGGAAAACAGGACTTCCAGAAACCTGCAAAATACTTATAGCTTCTGCACGACAAACGTTAGTACAGGTAAAAATTTTAGTTTTTCTAATTTCATCTTGCCTAAAATCCCCCCAAAAAGAAGAATCATAAGGAAACTGGTAACTTAAACCTCTAATCCCAGGCTTATGTCTTAGATTTTGAAGAAATATTGAACTCATTTATTTGGATAAAAAGAGACAAGAATTTGATATTCTTCAATTAAATATCGTGATTGCACATATACTGTAAAAACACTTGACCTTACACTTATATTATGTCACTGTATTTCTAATGACCTAACAGGGCTGCTGTTACTATCCAAGTGATAATCAATGGCAGATGGAGTGAATACCAGGGTGAAGTACTCAGCTGGAATGCCGTCATTGACAATTGTCGGATGTGGGTCCCCTCCTCCCCAAATTCCTGACTGTTTTTGGTCTTCCAAGAATTCATTGTTCCTAGGCCCAGAGTCAGGAGCAAAACAACAACAGCCTGGATGTGGTCTAAGGACGCTGCCAGCAAATCTGAGACCCCGCAGACAGCTCATGTGACATTTGATACACATTTTCTCATTTAACTATGTAAGCGCTGGGACAGGTACAATGTTAACCCTCACTGTTCAGGTAAGAAAACAGGGGCTCCGAGAGTCAGAAAACTTGCCCATGGTCACATGCCACATGTGACAGATTCTGAATTTGGGCTCAAATTTGATGCGCTCCAAAGCTTAAACGTATTTCTCCTTTCCACAAAAATAAAACCTACTTCACAGACCCTTTGGAAGTCCACGCTTCTCCTAGGTCTCAGGTGTTGTTTGTTTTCAATCCACCTTTCTTATCTGCCCCGCATGTTCGGTAGAAGCCTGTCTCTTGTCCAGAGGCCCTGCTTGGTGGGATCACAGCTATCTGCCCCCAGGGTGAGGCGGGTCCATCCTGTGCGCTCCTAAAATCCATGGTAGATCATGGTTCCCTGGACATGGTAAATCTTAGGTGTACTTTTAGCCGGACGGACCTGTGGCAAGCTTCATCCTTAAAGCAGGAAACCTAGAAGTTGTCAGGCCACGGGTTTACTGGTTTCCCCAGCTGAATGTGAAATGCCACCAACTGAGGCATTTCCCAGAAGGCAGAGCAAGTGGGCAACGTAACCGCATTCCTCCTGTTTTTCACAATGTGCGCAAAGGCTGAATAGCTGGGGCTCTTTGGAACACACCCCTTCTTTTCCGCGCAGGAAGCCGGAGGGAAGCCCTGCCTGGCTGCACGTTGGAATCACCCGGAGAGTTTCAACGACGCCGAGGCTGGGGTGCGGCCTGGGCACCTGGATTTTCAAAGCGCCCAGGAGATTCTCAGGTGCAGGCAGAGCTGAGCAGCCCCGGCCAGACCAGCGTGGGACAAACCACTCCGCTGAGGCTCCAGTGCATGCCTCCGGACTTTCCCCGCGTTCCTCACTCCCGGTTTCTCCGCCCTGTGCCCTGGGAGCTCTCCCGGAGCCGCTCTGCGTTCCGCCCGCACGCGGGAGTCCGCCGCCCCGCGCTCAGGACCCCGGAGACCTCTGCCCGCGAACACCCGCCCCGGCGCTGGGACTTACGTGGCCGCCAGGTTTGCAGAGCGGGGCGCGCGGGCCGGGCGCGGAGGACCGGGCGAGGACTGCAACGGAGGGGAACAGGGCGGGAGCCGCCGCTCCGGCCGCCCAGACCGGGAAGTAGGGGAGGCAGCGCGGCTGCGTCCCCTGTCTGCTTGCGTAAGGGGCCGGGCGGGGCGGTGCGGGCCCAGGCGGGCCTGCGGGGCGGGGCGCAGGAAATCGGGCGGCGGAGCGCGGCGCAGAAGGTGGGCCTCGGGCAGCCCCTGGGGCGCTCCCTGCGGAGCCCGGGCGGTCTGGCCGCGCAGGGGCGAGGGGCAGGCCCGAGAGCCCGCCTAGGGGGGGACAGGGGGACTGTCGCTCCAGCTGGGCCAAGGCCGCCGCGAGCCCAGGGCCGTCACCCTAAAAGTGCCAACCCAGCAGCTGCAACTAGAGGCAACGCCTGGGCACGACAGTGGAACTTTTTTTTTTCCCCAATTGAATTTAGTGGGGTGACATTGGTGAATAAAACCATACAGGTTTCAAGTGTTCACCTGCACACTGCATCGTGCGCTCACCACCCACAGTCAAGCCCTTTCCTCCACCCGTTACGCTCCTGCGCCCTCTTCCACCTGCCTCCAGGCGGCGAAACTTGTTAAAATGTGACACATGCTCTCCGATGAATCCGAGCTCAAAGTAAGCAAACTTTTAAAAGACAGAGCACACTTAAAAGACAGAGTTACACTTTTTAAAATCTAAGCTTTTCTTCCTGTCCTTAAATCGGCTCGTAGTGGTGTACATTTTATATTCTGTACGTTATGCTGTAATGACTTGTAAAGGAATCCTTAACATAATAAATTTCCCCATAAAAATATTGTAAACCTTTGAAATGGGGAAAGTCTACATTAGGCATAGGGATGCTGTAAAAAATTGTCCCTTATTCACACAAAAATGCATTCAATCATGGGACCACGCATGCTCATGAATACTGGCATTCCCATCAAAGGCTGCCTTCTGGGAAAGAATGTTCATAACTCAGAAGTGAAACTTGGCAAAAGTAAAATTGATAGGACACATTGTGCAAACTTCTAAGCACTAAAAAGATGCTAAAGATACTAATTCCTTCAGTTTACCCTTGTTTGAACCTCTAAGATTCTGCATTTTATTTTCCAGGTCTTTTTAGCTCTCATTTTTTCCCCATATCCTGTTTTATTGCATTCTGCGTAAATTCTTCCAGTTCTGTTTCTCCATTCATTAATTATTTTGTAACCATTTGCATCTGCTGTTTAACCTGTCTGGGACAGGCAGACTAGTCCCTCCACCTCCTCCATGAGGTCCACCTCCTATACCTGGAACCTGTGAATGTGGCAACGGAGAAGTAAGGTAGCAGGTGGGATGAGGAAGGGCGCTAATCGGCTGACTTTGAGATGGGAAGATGATCATGGATTGTTTGTATGTGGGCCGAATGTAATCACAAAACTCTTATAAGGGGAAGCGGGAGACAGAAGAACCAGAGATGGCAGCCTGAGCAGGATGTGGCCTGATGTTGCTGGCTTTGATGAAGGAGGAATGGGGCTATGAGCCAAGGAATGAGTGTGGCTTCTGGAAGCTAGAAATGTAGCGGAAACAGATTCTCCCACAGAGCCTCCAGAAGGAGCGCCTCCTGCTGGCACTTTGATTTTAGCGCTAGGCTAGGGAGACCCTTTTAGACTTCTGATCTCCAGAACTGGAAGATAATAAATTTGTTTTGTCTTAAGTTACTAAATTTGTGGCAACTTGTTACAGCAGCAATAGGAAATCAATATACCATTCATTTGAGTATTTAATTTCAACAATAATATATTTGCTTTCTAAGAGTCTTTTGGTTCTATTTCTAGTTTTCTTGATCATTTTTAAGTCTCCTGTTCTTTGCTGGTTCCATCCTTTTAAAAAAATGCATATGTAGTTAACTTTTGTTTTTCATTAAACTTTGAGATAATTATAAACTCGCATGCAGCTTTCAGAAATAATGCAGAGAGATCCATGCACCCTTACTGGTAACATCTTGCAATATCACATCCAGGATGTTAGGCGCTGACAGTTAGGATACAGAATATTTGCATCACTACAAAGATCCCTCATGTTCTCCTTTCATACCACACCACACCCTCTTTAACCACTGGCAACCACTAGTCTGTTCTCCATTTCTATAACTTGTCATTTCAAGAAAGTTATGTAAATGGAAGCATACAGTATGTAACATTTGGGGATTGTTTTTTATTCACTCAGGGTAATTCTCTGGAGATTCATCCAGGTCATTGCATGGATCAATAGTCCTTCCCTTTTTATTGATGAGTAAGTAGCATTTCACAGTATTACCACACAGATCGCTTAACTGTTCACATGTTGAAGGACATCTGGGTTATTTCCAGTTTGGGGCTATTATGAATAAAGCTGCTATGGACATTCATGTACAGGTTTTTATGTGAACGTAAGTTTTCATTTCTCTAGGAATGAAAATACCCAGGAGTCCAACTGGGTAGTTGCATGTTTAGTTTCTTAAACTGTCAAACTATTTTCCAGAGTAGCTGTATCATTTTATATTCCCACCTACAAACATATAAGTGATCAATAGTTGGATGGATAAATTGTAGTATACTCATACAATGAATACAACCATAAAAAAGAATGAAGTGTTGCCTGGCCAGCGTGGCTCAGTGGAGGCTTCGGTTCGATTCCTGGTCAGGGCACGTGCCTGGATTGCAGACTCGATCCCCAGTGTGGGGCGTGCAGGAGGCAGCCGATCAATGATTCTCTCATCATTGATGTTTCTCTCTCTCCCTCTCCCTCTCTGAAATCAATAAAAATATACTTAAAAAAAAAGAATGAAGTGATTTATGCTAAATGTTGGTGAACCTCAAGGACATTAAGTGAAAGAAGCCAGACACCAAAATGTCACATATTGAATGATTCCTTTTATATGAAATAGCCATTGATGTTTGTATGTTTATCTTGTATGCTGTGTGTGACCTTGCTGAACTCATTTATTGGTTCTAAGAGATACTTTTGGTAGATTCTTAGGTATTTCCTACGTAGACAATCATGTCATCTATAAATAGGGACTGTTTCATTTATTGCTTTCCAACCTGTATGCCTTTCATTTTCTTTTCTTGCCTTATTGCACTCGTTAGAACTTCCAGCACTATGTTGAAGAAGTCATTATGGGGAGGAGGGGTGGGAGGTGGGACTCATTACTGCTGGTGGCTTTTCTGACACCACCCTGGTAGTGGTGGCCAGGGACTGGTGAGGGTACCTTGATACAGCCTGGTGAGGGTAGAATTCTAGGTTCCCTCTTGACCTTTGCTGGCTAGAGGTCAGGGGGTCCACAATTTTTCTGGGGTTTGGTTGGAGTAAAGCATTTATTCTCTAAAAGTTTTGTCTTGTTGCCGAAACCGGTTTGGCTCAGTGGATAGAGCGTCAGCCTGCGGACTGAAAGGACCCAGGTTCGATTCCGGTCAAGGGCATGTACCTGGGTTGCGGGCACATCCCCAGTGGGAGATGTGCAGGAGGCAGCTGATTGATGTTTCTCTCTCATCGATGTTTCTAACTCTCTCTCTCCCTTCCTCTCTGTAAAAAATCAATAAAATATATTAAAAAAAAAAGTTTTGTCTTGCTAGATTGTTTCCTATTCATTTTGCTAGACACAGCAGGTTTTATTATTACTGTTGTCATTTTTTGTTTGTGCTCATTGGTGCTTTTGGGTTACTGGCTTCTTCGGCTACAAGTCTCAGTGAGATGTGTGAAGCAAAAGAAAACCCAGGGAATTCAGCATCATGTCATGCCTTGGGTCCTGAGATCCCTGGCTAGTCTGCCTTCTCTCCAGCTTTCAGTCTTCTGTTTGTTTTATATAGAATGTTCAGGGATTTTAGCGGTATATAACTAAAGGATTAGGAAAGAGTATGTCTACTCTATCTTCCAAGAAGTCAAAGTCATAATTTTTCAAAAGTTATAATTTTAGGTGAGCTAGATCATTAGAGTAATATTTGATTTTTAGTATCTAAGCAAAACTGAGCTCTGCTCACTGTTATTACCATAACTGTATTAGCAGGTCAGTGACAAACTTGGTCTTCTTTGGAGGAGTTGAGAACTGGAGGAAACGAGAATATTGGAGGGTATACTTGAAACTAGTGAGGTATTAACAGCTACGAAACATGGTCTCACCTGCAGGCTATGGCTCAGTGTCACTGTAGAATCACAGCTGTAGCTGAAAGTCCTTTGGTCATTTTTCCCAGGAGAACACAATGAATCCTTATTTTATGCTCCTGCAGCTAGTTCACTCACATTCCAGGAACCTGTTTGGAGGTCCAGCTCCCTACATTTCTGAGACAGAGGATAGCTTTTTATAACCAGGATTGCTTTATTCATGACTCTTCTTTCTCCATTTATTCAGTTAATAAATGTTAAGAAGGTGACCATTTCTTTCTAAGCCAAGAATTAATTGTATCTTCGAGAAAACACTTTTTCCTCCTGATCTTGCTTCTTCTACTTTAAAATCTCATTCCAAGGGTGGCCCTGTACAAGCTTAATTCTTCAATAAGAACCAGAATGATGCTAATACTTATTATATGCCAGGTTCTATTTAAGCTCATTACATATATTTACTCCTCAAAACAATCCTAAACATGTGTTTTGGCTGTCCCCACTCTACAGGCAAGGAAATCGAGGCACAGGGTCTCCCAGCTGGAGAGTGGTGTCTGGTTCCAGAGTCTGTGCAATAATCCTCTAACCACAGAGACTGCATATGGCCAAGGGCAGACCTACTATGTGTGATGATTGGAATCTCTAACAAAATGAAATGTAGTACTTTAGTGGGGAATGTAGGATAAATCACACATACATGTATTCCTTGAGGAAGAGTGTGGCAGCTTTTAAATTAAAAAAAAAATTTATTATCAACTGTCTTTGCAGCTTGCTTGCTCTTATGAAGCTGATAAACCAAAAACATTTCCAGAGCAGAGCGATTCACCAGCACCGTCATTAAGTTGCAAATCTATCCTTTGTCACAGAGCAAGAATACACTTCAGATCCACTCAAGAAAATAACTTCACAGAAAAGTGTTCACAGAAAGACCCACATCCATTTACCATGCATTCCAGTGCCTCATGGTCCCCTTTGCAACTGCCTAACTCCTAACCCAGTTTCTTTTTATAGTCCAAAAACAAGGAACCACTCAGAGATATCCCCTCAGAGCACTGTTGAAAATATATTAAACGTAGAGATATCCCAGATCCCTGTTCCAAATATTAAAAATATATTAAATGAGCACATAGAGAAAATATCCATAGGTATAGTCTATTATGTTCTAATGAGTGTTTGTTTCCTTGCTTTTGATAATGTCTTCAATTTCTTCCGAGACCCTTCCTCTGTAGTCATTTGGCTCTATTGCATTTAACTTCTTTTGATACTCCAGGGGCAAACCATTCTCTTTGGCGCCCATGCAAATGACCTAGAAATAGTAAAATAAATAAAAACACCTCTTTTAGTATTTAACTTAGTATACCACAGCTTTATTTGCAGTATCAAAGCATGAAATATTAGCTTTCAGATAATTTTAGAGTAACTCTAGAATAAATAATTCTAGAACAAAATGGAGATATGCTCACTTCTTTCACAATAAGGATGAATGTGCAGGGAATTTTCAAAGCCACCTGCTAGGTCCTCATGGAATATGAACTCTACTCAGTAGTATGACAAAGAACTTTTATATTAAGACAAAAAACTTTTTTATAGACTATGCATAATCTTTTAAGAAAAAACTATTCTTAAAAAAAAATTAAAGTTTACAGGGAGCAGTTTTCATTGAATCCCAGAGTCTAGTCTGCCGATGAATTAGACATGAAGAAGTAAAGTCCAACCGTATTCAGTGGTACTTTCCAGATCCACACCAGGCTAATCGGCTAGGTTCCTTACTGGGAAATTCCAGAGCTGGCCTGGAACTGGGCCACCCCTCTGGGTGCCGTGTCCTGGTTGGGCCTGCTAACAATTCCTAACTTGGGGTTTCTGAAAAGGGATGTGGAGGTCTCTACCCACATTTTTTTCCTGTGCTTGTGGGGAGTGGTTTCCTGAAAGGCAGTGTGACTTTTTTTTTTTTTTCTATCTAGGGATGGAAAACATTTCAGCAGTAGGAAATATGTATTTTTCCCAATGCATATTGGTGTTCATGTTTTGTGGAGAGAAAATCGATTACAAAAGCCCGCATATAGGAAGAAAATACGTGTCTAGAATTATGACTCATATATTTCTAACAGCGTTTTAAAATAAAGTTTTAGGAATATAGTTCTATCATTACAAATAAATCTGAATATTGTATTTTAGGTAAATAACTATCATTGTTATATTTAAAATTTTTTATTAAAATGAATTGTTTATGTAGAATTTAAAACACATAAAGTTTTTAAAAAACAAGATATTCTTTAGATTAGTTCAGTGAAAATTAAGAGGAATCACCAAAAATCTTAGTAAGTAGCTTACCTTTTTATACTGGGGTGAAGGGGGAGCGCTCTCATAATCTCTCATCTGGTAACTTCGACAGGTTATTTTTTTTCCTTCTTGAGTGTAAACATTAATTTCCATTGGGGCATATGTTCCACTATTAACCCCTTCTTGCCTGAAACCAGAACAGCCAAATTTTAATCATACTTGACTTAGCCAAATTAGCTTACTGGATTAAGAATTAAACTATCTATGGATGTATTTGCTCCCTCTGTATTTTGGGATATAGAACATATTATAATCCTACCACATCCAAAGTAAACTCAGCATTTCCATTAGAAAACCCTAGGTTTACTATTATTTGTTATACTTCTAACAGATCTCTATATTTATTTTATGTAAAAACATGCTTCAATGTAGCTATTTTCATCTGTATATACCCAAGACATCAGTCTCTCGGCTACAGAAAGTGGACTGTGTGCTGACAGCAGGAGGGTATCCAGCCAGAGCAGAGTAGCTGATGGCTTCACAGGTGAGTGAAGCACCACGCGGGTCAGATAATCTGCTCTTTGCAAATCTACTCATTTCTGCCAACTTCCTCTGTACTAAATGCTCTGCCTCACAACTCATGGGAATTCTAGTTATAAAAAGTATGAAAGCATTCCTAGTATAAGTTTTTACAAATTATTATTTCTTTTTACTGATTCAACTGCCACCGTAAAGAATTAGTTTTTAAAAACTGGCTCTAAAACGACTACTTCCGAAATCAATAAACATATGTGACAATTTAAAAAATCTTCATGCTTTTTCACCATATGAAACTATGAAGATTTATATAAGACAAACAGAATGAAAATAAGGACTTCCATCTTTTACAGAAGGGTTAACACATGTCACCCCCAAATCTCAATCAGAAAGTGTGACCTTCTAGGCTTTTCTTTTTAGGAAATGCACATTATACCTTTTATGTTAACTCTAAAGTGTAAAGAATACGTCTGTAGTATATGGTTTTGAAAAACCAACACATAAAGATACACATCCTTGCATATGATCCACTTTCGGAATTTGTAATTATTTAACTTATAATTAGAAGCCACCTACTTATCCAGAGAACTTAAATTGCTTTTGTTCATTTTCCATACTACTCCCCACACTTCATCGCCAGGACTTTGAAAAATGGTGGCTATACCTCCATGCCAAGTTTCACTTGTTTTGCCTTGGAAATTGCCAAAGTCAAGCTTAAAATCCTACAAAGAAAACCAAAGTGACATGATCAATATTCTCTTGAACCAAAATTTCCTCAAAAAAGAAAAAAAAAGATTTACCTTGAACTTTATGCAATTAAAATATAAACTTTGAGTTCCTTCTATGTGTAAGAAGCTGTGGAAAATAGAAAGATAAACAAAAACCCAGATCTCAAGGACTGTATGTATTTTTCATATTCTTTAAAAATGAAATGTATACTGAATAGGTACAGTATCTTACCATAAACAAAAGGTTTAAGTGGGAAGAAAAATCCCATAATCCCAATGCCTTAACAACTATTTTCATTTTTGAAAATTACTTCCCAGCCTATTTACAGATAGATTTTTAACTTAGAAGCAATCACAGTGTACATAATTATTGAAACTGGGTGAAAGCTACATAGGGGTTATAATATTATCTCTACTTTTTGGATGTAAGGAGCATTAACTAGTATATATCACTATGTTTGCCCTAAGGGAGCTGGCATTTGAGGGTAATTTGTATACATATGAACACTAATCTAATATTCATAAACTGTACTAATATATCTATAATTATCATAAAAGCAACTAACACACTGGAAAATTACTGGGTTCTATATACATACCTGTGCTATGAGCTTTATATGGACTCTCATTTGTATCTTGCCTAATAACCTTATTATACCCATTTCACAGCAAGAAAAACTGTGGCTTACAAAGATTAAGCAACTTGCCTAAGGTCTCCTGACTAGTAAGTAATGAAGCCAGGTTTCCAGTTTAGCTTCTTCCCTCACAGGGAAGGCACAGTCCTGGGGAAGATGAAAAGTCCTTACTTGGCTGTTTGATCTAGGAAGATTGCTTTCCATCTTTCCAGAAATTAGTTCCCTTAATGATAAAGTGAAAAAGGATGGGATCAATAATAAGTCTAAGGTTTATATTTTATCCTTTAACTTTATTTTCTTAAAAACCTTCTCAGACATTTTAGGAAAAAGGTTTTTTCAGTGACCAGTACCTTCAGCTGGTATCCTGGATATTCTAGGACCAAGTGCCCCATCAAAGGATCTGATAAAAATTACCACCACACTAGGAACTGGTTGTCTATTGCTAAATGCAAGAGACAATTTTCATGCTTCATCTTGTTCCAGTTCTCACCTGCTTCTGACACAGTTAACCAACCCTGTCTTGATCTGCTTCCTTCCTGACTTTCAGGTTGTTCCTTGATCTCAATTACCTTTGCCAACTCCTCCTCGACTACCTGGTCTTTAAATGTTGGGGTGCCTAAGAGTTCAGTTTAGGCCCTTTTCTCTGTTCATTCAGTAGTCTGCTCAAGACAATCTCAACCCTCCAATAACTTCAAATATCATCTAATATTCCAATCATCTTTTAACCCAACCCAAATCTCTCTCTGGGCTTCAAAAGTGCTTAAAGCAAGCCGTGTACATTCCGAGTACTTAATAAATGTTCATTAATATTGTTCTGCTCACTTGGATGTAAAACTAGCATCTCAAATTTAGTACGTGCAAACCGAGCTTGATTTCCCCTACCTAACCTGATTCTCCTCTTTAAAAACATCACCCACCCTGTTATTGCACCAACAACCTTAGTCATCCCTATTATCTCTTCCTGCCTTCATCATCAATCACTGTTGACACTGTTACCTCCTAAATATCCCCCAAACATGGTGTTTCTGCTGTCCTTGGGCAGATGATGACACTGTTACTCCCTAAATATCCCCTAGACCAGGGGTGGGCAAACTTTTTGACTCGAGGGCCACAATGGGTTCTTAAACTGGACCGGAGGGCCGGAACAAAAGCATGGATGGAGTGTTTGTGTGAACTAATATAAATTCAAAGTAAACATCATTACATAAAAGGGTAAGGTCTTTTTTTTTTTTAGTTTTATTCATTTCAAACGGGCCGTAGTTTGCCCACGGCTGCCCTAGACCCACCTACCCTCCACTGCTCCCACTCAAGGTGCCATCATCTTTAGTACGGAGCTTTTTAACTGGGCTCCCCACACCCCCTATTGCCACCCCTACCCCTTCCAATCCATTTCCCACATCAACCAGAAGAGGTAAATTAAAGATGTAAATCTGATCGTTCCTTTGCTTAAATTCCACGGTGGGTCTTCTCCTGCTCTCAAGATAAAACCAGTCTTCTTTGACCTGTGGTCCTGCAACATGTGGCCCTTCCCTACCTCTGCAGCCCTCATGCAACATCTCCTCACACACTCAGCTCCAGCCTCACCAGCCGGGTGACCCAGCTTCTCTCCTGAGGTCTTTTGCACACACCATTCCTTCTGTTTGTTTCTTCCCTCCCCGATCATTCAGGTTTTGGCTTAAGCAATCACATTTTCAAGAAGAGCTTTACTGAACATTCCGGTTAGGTCAGGTCTCCATGTCATACACTCTTATAGCACCTTGTATGTCTCCTTAATAGTAATTTTTTAAAAAGGCCACTTTTTTAGAGCAGTTTTAGGTTCACAGCAAAATTGAGACGAGGGTAAAACTCTTCTCCGTTTTAAGACTAACCATACCTGTAACTGGATAATCATTTTCTTGATAGCTCCCCTTGTCATCTCAACTACAAAGTATCTGAACTTCTTTCCCACATTTGGGGGACTCCCTACCTTATGCATGTGGGGTGGGGGGGTAGAGAGTGCCAGAGCTCAACTCCCAGTTTTGAAGCTTTGAACGCCAGAAGTTGGTTCTCCCAGCTTTGCTTGGGCACGTGACCAAGATCTACCCAACCTGGACAGCCCGCCCCCCCTCCCTGAGTCTTAATTATGCCCAAGGACAGCAGAAACTCCACCCTGGTGGTGGCGGCCACATCTGGGTTTCAGGATCTGCAGGGGTGTAGTGACAGCGGCAGGCAGGGTCCATCCAGCACAGATGGTGCTGGCGCTGCATGAGGCAGTGCCCATGTTCAGCAGGGGTGCAGCCCTGGCCTCCCGGGCTGCTCCTGTCTGTGACACTGGCTGTATTACCATTGCAATGCCTCCCTTTACGCCTGCCTGTTTTGTCAGCTTTGTGGTCCCAACTTCCTGGTCACTCTGTAAGCTCTCCAACAGCCTTTCAATGCACTCTTTTTCCTGCCTAAACCAGCCACTTTCTGTTGCTTGCAACTAAGAACCCTGATGATGACGGCAGAGGCCCTGTTTGTTGAGCTCAACAAGCAAAATGGTTTTGTGACATAATCTGTCTGTGTGCTTCTCCTATAGCCTGGAAGGTCCTCAAAGCAGCCAGCGCTACTCAATCATCTCTGTGTCTCCAGGTAAGTAAGTGCTGGGAAAACATGCAACTAAGAACCCTGATGATGACAGCAGAGGCCGTGTTTGTCGAGTTCAACATGCCAAAAGGTTTCGTAACATAATTTGTCCGCGTGCTTCTCCCATAGCCTGGAAGGTCCTCAAAGCAGCCAGCTCTATGCAATCATCTCTGTGTCTCCAGGAAAGTAAGTGCTGGGAAAAAAGGAATAAATGGGCTGAGCTGAAGAGCATGAGTTTTACCCAGGTGGGCTCCGGTTCATCCAGCCACTTGACGGAGCACAGCCCTTAGGAGGAATAAGACATGGTTCCAGCGTTCAGGGCCCCTCGGGTTGGGGGGGAGGGGGGCGGTGAGGGATGACGAAAGACAGGAACACGCATTTTTACAACACCAGGTGTCAAGTCCGGTAGCAAAGATACCCACAGAACAGAAGGCAGCTGATTCCCTGCCTTGGGTCAGAGACAGCTGCTCCGAGGTCTGAACGGAATGGGTTCTGTGAGGATGCCCCTAAGTCAGTGGGCGAGAGGCGGCCGGAGCTGGGCAGAACGAGCAGCTTGTGGGAAGGATAGGAGGACAGGAGGGAGCCACGGCGGCCTGGGGGCAGGCTCCCTGGGGGCAGGCTCCCTGGGGGCACCGTTGCTGGGGTGGCAGCGCTCAGTAGGGGGTCAGCACGGGGCCGCGAGGGCGAGGTGGGCTTGCCCAGAAGGCACTTCGTGAAGATAAGCCGTAATCTTACAGGTTAGAGCTGCGTCCCGGGGCCCCTGGTCCGTGGGGTGGGCACCACGTCGCAGGGGCCGGGCGGGGAGCACTGACCTGCAGGCGGGCCACGCAGCAGAACGCGGCCGAGGGGTTTCGGAGTTGGATCCGCTCGGTCAGCAGGTTGCTGCCATAGGCGAAGTACAGAAAGCTCTCCTCCTCCTCCTGGCCCCGCAGGTCCTCGCAGCCCGAGCTCGCCATGACTCACCAGGCGCCCCGCGTCCGCAGCAGGGGTCGGAGGAGAGGACGGCGACGGCAGCGCGGCCCCGGGCGACCCCAGCTCAGCGGCCACCGCCCCCGGAGTTAGGGGGAAAGGTGGGAAGTGTGGGCCGGGCGAGTCGGGAGCGAGCGCCCTTCTGATTGGCTGTCGGTCCTAACGATGCCAGTCGCCCCTGCTGATTGGCCAGACCCACCGCCCGCGATCCACTTTCCTCTTGGACTCGGAAATGCTCAGTCCGGCGGCGACCGGGGTCTGGTTCCTCATTGGACACGCCTTCTCTTGTCCCGCCTCCGTGGTCAAGGCCGCCTCTGATTGGCGAGCGGTCCGGCGCTACGCGGTGTCAGGTCAGGTCGCGTGGGCTCGGTTCGGCGGTCGCGGCGCGGGTCGGCACCAGGTTTCTCCCTCTCGGGCGTGGGCCGGGGCGGGGGGGCGCGCGTGTGGGTGGAGGCCGTGTGTGCGCCCCAGGGAGTTCCGGGCAGGTCTGGGGCGAAACAGCGGCCCTGGTAGGGCAGTTTCCTCACCCGCCGCTCGCCTCCGGCCCGGTTTGGATGAGTCGGTCAGGGCGGGTCTATTCACCCCGCGCCGCTTCCCGCACCCCAGCCCTGATGGTCTCCCCGATGCCTCTTCTAGGGACCCTCTGCCTCCGGGAGGAGTCCCTCTGAGCGTCCCGGGCTCCCTTCCCTGGCGGAAGTGCTGTGCCGGTTCCAATTCCGACGCTGCCGGTTGGCGTAAGTATTGCCATTAAGTGCACAACCCCCCCGGGTACAATAAGATATAAAAGTATTGAAACAATGGACTAAAACCCTATCTGGCTAACTCTGAAGTGAAGGGATTACTATGAACTCCGGGCCTAGAAGCGAGTCTTCGACACCCAGATTTTGACCCCTAAATGCCATTCTCCGCCAAAAGGTACCGGGGCGCCATGGAGAAGGGGCTGGGGCCCGGTCAGGAGCTGGGAGTGCGTGAGTTCTTGGACTGTCTCCTGACAGGAAGTCGGGAAGTATCCAAGAAGAAAGAGGTTCTTTTATTATTTTCATTTTAAGTATATCTTTATTGATTTCAGAGAGGAAGGGAGAGGGGGGGAGAGAGAGAAACATCAGTGATGAGAGAGAATCGTCGATGGCTGCCTCCTGCAGGTCCCCTACTGGGGATCGAGCCCGCAACCCGGACATGTGCCCTTGACCAGAATGAAACCTGGGACCCTTCAGTCCGCAGGCTGGTGCTCTATCCACTGAGCCACACCAGCCAGGGCGAAAAAGAGGGTCTTTTAAAAGGACCCGGGAGCCAGCTTGACGGAATGAATGCCCACTGGCCACAGTTAGAACAATTTGAGGGTCAAAAAGAATGACTGCAGTTGGTTGAAAATGTCAAACGTGTAAAAGTCATTTCCTGGAAAGAGTGAGCCAAATCTAAAAAAAAAAGAACCTCAATAATTTCTAGAAATCTCTGTTTGCCATGTTACGGGTGGTGACTATTACACCAGCTCTTTACTCTGAAAAGCGGTAAGTGGAGAAAATAAACATTTATCCCGCCTTTCTAGTTGGAGGAGCATTTCAGAGTCATCAGACAGCCCCCGTTGATGTGCAAACCGCTGTTAATGAAACCATTTGGTGCAAGGGTGATAGGGAACAGAATGTTAACCGGTGCACAATTATTCCCCAGGGATTACTTGCTGGTCATCAGGAGGAAAACAAGGACAGTGGGAAAATGTGGCCTCTCCCATCTTAGCCTAGATGAATCTTACCGCCACGAAACGTGGGCCATGACATTGTTGTGTCTCCAGCATCATCTGTGAGTATTGTTCCCCAAAATCTTTAACTTCAACATAATAAAGCAGGAACTACAGGATTGAAGGGGGGGAAAAAATGACACCAAGAGGAAAAATCTAAAGCAAACGATAGGACATACTGCAGAGCAAATAGCTTAGTCTCTTACATTAAGCCGGTGTCATTTAATGAAATTAAGTCCTTCGCTGCTCGTCTGGAACCATGGTGCCCTCACTGTGGAAGGGACTGGTGGGCGTCGGCCTCTTCGCTCTAGCCCACGCAGCCTTCTCCGCTGCACAGCATCGTTCTTACATGCGGTTGACAGAAAAGGAAGACGATTCCCTGCCGATAGATATAGTTCTTCAGATACTTCTGGCTTTTGCAGTTACCTGTTACGGCATAGTTCATATTGCAGGGGAGTTTAAAGACATGGATGCTACTTCAGAACTAAAAAATAAGACATTCGACACTTTAAGGAATCACCCATCGTTTTACGTCTTCAATCATCGTGGTAGAGTCCTGTTCCAGCCTTCGGATACAGCAAATTCTTCGAACCAAGATGCGTTGTCTTCTAACACATCCTTGAAGTTACGAAAACTTGAATCACTGCATCGTTGAGATTTTTACAAATCATAACCACAGGACAGGACACAGAGCTGGAATATTGGCGTTTGGGGTATATAAAACACCTCCCCCCACCGATATGTATTTTGATCTTTCAGACCTAATTTTTTAAAAGTTTATGCCCCTGTTTTTATACTGTTAAATCATTGATGCAGTATAAAATATCTGTGAAATGAGTCTTTGATCTTTCATAGAGTTCTTTCTTTTTTTCGTTTAAAACAAATTGGCATCTTTTGTAAAAGTCACTGTTTTGAACACATTTCTTCGAAGGAAAAAAAAGTTGATGTTTTTGTAATTGTTTTCTCAGATTTCTTTTCCTTTTGCACTACAGTTTTTAGGACCCTTTTGGAAACAGCGTGACTGCTGCATTTTGCTGCATGAACGATAATAAAACGGTCTTCAGTTCTTAACAAGTGGACTTCTCTGCAGAGATTTAAAAAGGTGACATCAGTTTTTCGTAGGCCCTCTAAAAAGGGGCTCTGCTTCAGGAGTTACTTGCCAGATTTTAATTTATCCCTCACTTCTCACCCCACCCGACTCCCATATACCTTCTAACATCAGCTATCTCGTTGCATCACTTCTCTGGAGTTCTGTGTGCAGTGAGCAATTTTTGTATCAGAAATTCTTTGTCATAACAAATATACTTAACAGATTCAACTTGCTGTAAAGCTACTTGTATTCTCTTTGTTTATCTGTAAAAAATTTCCCTAATTGGTTATGTGGTGTAAGAATGTTGAAGATACACCAAAAGACCCTTTGGGATTTAATTATTCTGCTTATGTAGAAGAAGAAGAATCACTGAGGAAAACTGATTATTTGTCATTAGCCAGTTTAATTTATTCAAATTCTGTTATTTTATTGCATACTATACTAGTGAATTAGTAAAAATAAACTCATTAAAGGAATTGGGCCAAAAATGTTCTAAATATTTGGAACTATCTTTAATTTTTTTTTCATTAATATCATTTAAGAAGTTGTTTTGTGGCTTCTGACTTGTAGCAGGCTTACAGTTTTCCATCTTCATTGTATGTTGCTGAAGATGATACAGAGTAGTACTTTTTTAGGAACAGTAATTTTAGTTTTAGGGAAATTTGGCTAGCCCTTTGGTCTGCAGAAAGCTTAACATTCCTTGGTAGAGAACATTTTATTGAATTCTCAGGTATGAAAACATTGCTTATGTGGAATTGTATAGATGTAGAGGGAATAACTATGCAGATTTGAAAAAGAAATGAGCTTTAGGCAAGAGTCTCCTGATGCCCTTACACTTGATGGCTTTTTTTCCACTAGAAATTAACCTCAGCGCTTCTGTTCTGCCTGGAAACGCATAGCCCCAAAGCAGGAGATTATTTTGTCATTGGGCTTTTATTTTGTTTAGTTTTGTTTTGCCAACCTAGTCTACCTGTGGAATACTAGCTCTGCTCTCTAAGGAGGACAAAGTTGGTAATCTTCTGATAACCTAGAGTAATTTAGAAGTGCGTTAAAGATGTGAAGTCGGGGGTTAAAAGTGGTGATGATAAAATCAAAACTGTGTGAGAAACAGCTCCTTACATAGGTTGTATACCGTCTCCTTGGGGATGACTAGGTTCCCAAGGGCCTCTTGTTTTCTTCTCTTGGGGCTGTCTTCCTTTCCTAATATGCTTTCAGAACAACTTTATGAAGCTATAACTCACATTCCTTATAACTCACCCACTTAAAAGGTACAGTTCAGTGGTTTTGTAATATAGTCACTAGTTGTGCAGCTATGACCACAGTCAATTTGAGAACACCCAAAATAAACTAACCCTTTAGCAGTCATCTCTCATTTCCCCAGATGCCTCCCAGCCCCAAGCAACCACTAATCTACTTTCTCTCTCTCTGATTTGCCTATTCTGGTCCTTTAAATGGATTCATTCAATATCTGGTCTTTCATAACTGGCTTCTTAAAATAATTTTGTTCTGTGGAGAGTGAGAACTTCTCATCTTGAGAACTGTGACTGCTGTGAAAGGAAGTGGTTGGTGAAATCAGTAGACGTAAGACAGAGGGTCAAATTTTATTTATAATGTTATGAGACAGTCCATGACTACCTAGGGTAGTCCCAAAAATGTGATGCAAGCTATCTCAGTCTGCAGTTGACTATTGAAGGCTCTCTAGAATATGGGAAGACTCACTTCTTAATAACCAGGGGACCAGCTACATGTGATGGGCTAATAGCCCAGCTGCACAGTGCAGATCAGTGAGTCAGGCCATAGTGCCCTGTAACTCCGTTCTTCACACGTCCTCCATCCAAAAATGGCTTCTGTGGTCCAAGCTGGGAAAGACTATGTTGTTCACTTCCTCTTGGAGAATCCCAGGGTCCGTGACCATAGGAAGGAATCTGAGAATACCTGTCATGAAGAAACCTGCTGAGCTCGGTTCAGTCCTGACTTTCCCAAGCCTTTGGTGTTGGGAAGCATGTTACCGAGCATGTGGGAAAAGCCTTGGTTTTTGAAGGATGATTGTTCAGTTATTGAAGAACCATATTAACTAAACTCTTAAATTATGCAGAAAATTGAAGACAAGCAATGGTGTTAGCTAGATGTTATTTATTGGTTTAATATGATTTCAGAGCCATTTGTTTATGACTTAAACGAAGTTGTTTTAATCCACCTG